ACGCAACGGGAAAAATACAGTTTAATACCACAGGAATTTTGTACTCACACTTTATTGTCTTTACAGTCCTGTTTATCGTAACATGGCAATTCATCCAGAAGACAATAAACAAAACATCCATGTACAGTGCAAAATTGATTTGTGTGGTTAAATGCGGATCAATTTCAACCATGAAATCTAATAACCCAGTAACGACGTCATAAACAATCCCAACACTATACATGGTTTATATTATATATTTACATATAATAAACATGATACTAAAATCGGTCGGGCTTTCAAGTTCTGATAAACTCTTGCCGAATCATTAGTTATTTATATAAATGATTCAATGACACATAACAATACCCAGTATTGTGTTACACACTTCTGGAATCTGAGTTGGTGTTAAACAACTAACCTCAGTAACATTAATAATAACACTGTATGGAATACAATATCAAAGCACCCAGCGCCGAAAACTGTAATAATGATAAATTTACATAAGTGGTTACAGCGTTCACTGTTTAGTCTGCATAAGTAATTTAAGTAATCTAACTATTTACATTGTATTATTGCTTCGTTTATTTATTTTTGCCTCTGTAAATACAACGCTTTTATGGGCATTTTGTTGAGAAAAAGTGAATACAATTGTGTTTATTGACCATTAAAATCACTGTCACATCCTCTAGGTGTGTTTATAATTTTTGAAATTTTAGCAAATCGTCGACTTTTATTCTCTCAATTTGTTGTGATCTCTGATTTACATATAGACTTGACGTGATTCTTTAAAATAAAACATCATGATGTAATTTAAAAAGATTATGTTATCAACATTTTTGACTTGAACTGGCAGATATTCCAATATTTTTTAATGTATTTTTGTTTACAAAGTTTATTTTTGGAGTTTGGTTTTAAGTTTCTTTTTTTATTTCGTTATTAATTTGATTATTTTGCACAGTGTGCATATATTTCTTAAATACGCCTTACTCTTTCATTGAAGAAATCATTGTTTCAAATTTTTGTGACCTCGAAGAGCTACTTTCTCGAACCTTCACATCAGCGGTTCTCAACTTTTTATATGCGAAATGCTCAATAGGCGACAATATGTAGCCGGTGATGCATGAAAAAAAAGTAAAATACATTAAAGACATTAGAAAACCAAAAATAAATAAAGGAACAGCAAAAAAGGGCAGAAAAGGCATCGGAAAAAGAGCTGAAAGAAGCAATAAATAAAATGAAAAACGGTAATACATGAATTAGGAAAAAGAAAAGAACTTCTTGAGATTATGAATCAGACCCAGAAGTGATAAGAAAGTACCGACAGATTGGCAAATAAATAAGCATCATCACAGCAATACACAATGTACAAAGCCCAATAAGAAGAAAATACAGTTGAAGAAAACTACTAGAAGAAAGAAAAATCGGAAAAGAGCCAAAACAAAATATTCAGCAAACTTCAAAGCTATGTGAAATTGAGGAACGAAAAATCAAAGTGTTCCGTTAGTAAAATTGGATTATGAATTACATAAAAAAATGCAGGAAGAAACTGAACACCTACAACGTATATATATACTATACCTATAGGTATATACTAAAGACTTAACAATATAAGAATAACAGAATTATGTTACGCCAATGACCTGGTAATACAATGACAATCAGAAAACAACAGGAAAAAAAATGTATGTAACAATCTCATAGTGCAATGTATAAATCACTATGCAGTGTATTTGAGGATTTTTATTTCTAAGATTTCCAAATTTCATAAGATTTTCGCTAAAGCTACTAAATTTTTGATGTATTACATACAATGATAGGGATCTAAATAAAAATGTTACTACTTTTAAATGGGTGTTGGTCACTTGCGCGCCACGGTTAGTTTACTCCATGTAGCAAGTCCTAAGACACTTGCGCGCAAATAGGGGATTATAATGGTTGTCATTGTCTACAGGTATCTAGATGATAATATGTCTCCTACATTATAGTTCCATAAGTTTCATAGTAAGTCTAGCAGCACAGGGATAAAAAAATCAGCAGATCTACTTTTGTAAAAAGTGTTCCTTATAGATTTGTAAAAAGATAAAATAATTTTTCAACAAACTGTTTTAATTTTTACAAAATGAATTTACGGATAGAAAATTTAAAATCAATGAAAATTACATTACATAAATTAATTAACAGTGCATTTCCATTAATTGTTAATTAGTGTTAATTTAACGATGACAGGTAACAAATGCTTATGGTATTAACCCTTCAAATTACATATATGTAAATATTTCTAACCGTTGCATGCAACTGTCCAGTGGGAATAGGACCCCCTCCTTTTAAACATCTTTGTTAAGAATATTTATCACTATTGTAAACAAAATCTGTTATAGCTTAACATTTCATAGCTTTAATAATTTTCTGAGCTATTAGACAGAACTTCCCTCACCTCTGGAGTATCGTTTAACAAACCTAGCTCCTTCGAAAAATTTTAAAAGTTGATTTTGTGATATTTTTATGATAACTTCTAATAATGAATTTACGGATAGAAAATTTAAAATCAATGAAAATTACATTACATAAATTAATTAACAGTGCATTTCCATTAATTGTTAATTAGTGTTAATTTAACGATGACAGGTAACAAATGCTTATGGTATTAACCCTTTAAATTAGATATATGCAAATATTTCTAACCGTTGCGCGCAACTGTCCAGTGGGAATAGGACCCCCTCCTTTTAAACATCTTTGTTAAGAATATTTATCACTATTGTAAACAAAATCTGTTATAGCTTAACATTTCATAGCTTTAATAATTTTCTGAGCTATTAGACAGAACTTCCCTCACCTCTGGAGTATCGTTTAACAAACCTAGCTCCTTCGAAAAATTTTAAAAGTTGATTTTGTGATATTTTTATGATAACTTCAATAACTTAAAACAAAATATGTGTGGACTGTTAAAGTAGAGCTAAAGAATCATGTCATGTGTATGTCTCAAGTAAATTTTTTAATAAGAAAATTTTGTAATGACGTTATCAACAAGGACACGTATATCACTTTGAGTAGGTGTCGTATAATATTAATAATAACAATGGTGCATCCTCAAATATTCGGGAAAATGGAACAAACCGTTTTTGATTTGAACAATCAAATAAATTGCTTCATTCATTAACTTTCTAAATTAAAACTGCGGCCCTTAGAATTTACAAACCTCCGACAATAAAAACTAAAATTATGGCGTTAGCCGTTTTTTATGAAGGACGGCGGTTAAAATTCATGAAGTACGGCGGTTGTCGTTTATACAGTATAGCCTTCAAAATTTATAAAGTACAACATTTAGAATTTACAAAGTATGGCGCCCGTCCATAAATTATTGCTTTTATCGTTTATAAAGTACGACATTCAACATTAATAAATTACGGCGTATAGAGTGTAAGTACTCAGAAACTAAGCCATGTGTCACTGATATAGTTCGGCCTTTAAAATTTACAAAAGTACTGCTAATATATATAAAATTTAAAAAATTTGGTTGTCTAAGATAAAGGCGGATTCATCAGCCACAAATATAAAGATATATTATTTTATGAAATTTAAATAACATTTACTCTGCAAGATTTCGAAGTGACATCATCAGATCGTTGGGGGGGATGATTAGACAAATTTTGGTTCGCGTTTTATTACCTACACGATATCCCTAAAATACATACAAAATTAGACAACAATTGGCTCAATAGTTTCAAAGATTATCTGTCTAATAAATATTGACACAGACGACAATCAGACAGGCAGACAGACGGAAACGAAACACCCCTTGTTTCATATTCTAGAGGTTGTCAAACGTCGCAATCATGCTCACATAAATCCTGTACAGATGACCATCTGAATTTGTATCCATGCTATTGATTTTGTATACTTATTTACAGTAAAATTTATCAATTTTGAATGCCTTGGACGTTCTTGTGTGATATAAAATGACTTAAACAATTTATGTCATATTTCCTAAGGATTTCTAACACCTACGGATACGGAAATGCCAAAAAATCGTTAAAATCATAGCTAGAAATAATTTCTTTCTAAAATTTATCACTTCTGAGGAACACTACGACTTGTTTTGCGTACTTTGAAAGCACTTACGTTAAAAAAAAATATTTTCTCGAAAAGGAGACAATTGGCGATAGTTAATAAATATTAATTAGAAAAATCAATACCTCATTTATGCATGCAGTGCAAATTAGTTTTCTTAATTGTTCTTTTGACGTCACCACTAAAGTTTCAATTATGTCGTCATATGCGCATTTTTAAATGGAAGGACAATTTTTATTTAAATTTGATTTATACTTGCAATGTAACACCAATCTTAACATTGTCTATTTAGAGAAATTCAGGAAAATTTGATGAGCCGCTTCTAAAATAAATTCATCCATAAATAAATCGGTCACACTTTTTTAAACTTCTTTACTTTTTGTCTGAATAAGCAGTTTTAAAAGCACAAAAATATCAAAACATAATTTATTTAATAACGTTTTAATATTGAGTCCTTAAATTTTATCCTAAGCGTTTCACCATTTTCATGACACAGTACACTTAAAATATCAAAGTAATCGTTTCGGTAGTTCCAGACATTCGTGTTTTGTTATTTCACAAAGTCTAAAAAACCTGACATTAGTTAATCGTCAATATAAATATGTACTTGAATTGCCAACATTAGTAATAACATTGCATCCCTGTCGTGGTCGTAGAAAAAACTAAAAAAAATCCACTTCGTTAAAAATACCCCATGTAAACTAGCCAAAATATTGATTGTTTATCCACCTAATCTCAGTTAAATTCCCCCAATCAATCTCCACTCAACGTGGTTACATCCGCGTACACAACTTTTACAAACGCATCCATATGCATGAACTTCCTCGTAAACCCCCTTACTACACCACTCAAAAACCGGGTAAACCCCAATCAACCATTTCCACTCCCCTCCCCGTTATTGACCAGTGCACGCCTCATTTCCAAAAAAGCCGAGAGCATTCACCACCAACCTGCGCGTACGTTGACATCCCTTGAATGCACCGAACCGACGCTGTTCTTGGCGAGACAAACGTAAACCTGGGCATGGACCTCCTGTCTGTAATCCTCGGCTCTGAAGGGTGGGAACACGAGATTTCCGTTGGCCAGAACTTGTCGTAATCCGGGGACGTCGCCGACGGCGGTTCCATCCGACCTGACCCAGATGATATCGGGCGTGGGGTTGCCATGGGCGCTGCATTCGACGACGGCTCCGGTGGTGTTCGAGAAGTCGATGCGGTTGGGCGGCTCGCGGACGAACACGGGGCCGGAGGTGTCGTCCTCGGCGCGGACGCCGAGGAGCAAAGTCAAGAATATGACGCCACTAAACATGACACTAGCGAAGACACTGGTGCCGATGATCTGGAAAAATAAGTGGACAATTAGGTGGCGCCCACGCTAGTGCAATCTATAGTTTGTATTGAGTTACGCTGTTATTGTGGACTGCACTTGTAACGATTATTATAGTTTCCAGGCTGTTATCGATTTTTCTCAAGTGATGAAATATTCAATTGTGGAGAAAAAGTGTCATAGAAATTTCAGTACGGAGGTTTTTAACTGGAATAAATACTTTTCCAATTAGTTTTTCTGTTTGTTTGTCTGCTTGTATCCTTAATAATGTGGTAGGACTTTGTATATTGACGAACTCAACCGGGAATTTCCACAACTGACAAGCTTTATATTTAGTAAAAACAATAATAATTCACTGGAAACCCATCTAAAGCAGATGATTTTGATAAGGTGACGTTTCATTAATTCTAGGGTGAGAATTAATTACATTTGCACAAACTTTCCGGTATTGCCCTAAATTAATTCTTTAGTATCCCTAATCGAGGTGTAGTATTATAGTGTTCGTTGTTATGGAAAGTCAATCATGCTCTTGTAGTATGAATGTAAATATCACAGACGGCACTTTCTGAAAGTAAATGAGCCTATAACTTGTTTGCTATTTGTTGCTACAAGTTAATACGTCGCAATAGATACGTCAGTATTGATAAAAATAATTACAATTATTATCTCCAGCAAAGAATTTAAATAGTAATAACACTATGCAACAAATTAAAAAAAAATAAAATTCACAGAATGTACAGTATGTAGTTAAAATTCCTTACCTCAAACTCAATTGAGGATTATGCTTGAAAGAATCGTATCACATCAGGTTTCAAAATTAAAAGTGTTTATTGAATTTTTTGAAATCATACAAAATTAATAAAACAAAACTACATTTTTCATTGAAAAAGGTCTTTTTTTTCGAACGATTGGCATTCCTATTGCAGCCAGATATCGCAGTAACCCTCTGAAGACATCAGCAGAAGTCTGCAAGTATGAGCGGATACATAAAAGCGACATTTTTACGATTAACTGCAATCAAGTGTCCCAAAAAGTAAGAAAAACAAATCCCTCGTTATCTATGTCTTGTGATGTGATATGGGTATAAAAATTTTTTTTCTTTAGTATATGGAGTATAGGTACCCAACTTATCACATCAGGTTTCAAAATGAAAACTGTTTATTGAATTTTTTGAAATCGTATAAAATTAATAAAACAAAACTTCATTTTTCATTGAAAAAGGTCTTTTTTTTGAACGACTGGCATTCCTATTGCAGCCAGATATCGCAATATCCCTCTGAAGACACCAACAGAAGTCTGCAAGCATGGGTGGTTACATAAAAACGACATTTTTACGATTAACTGCAATCACGTGTCCCAAAAAGTAAGAAAAACAAAACACCCGTTATCTATGTTTTGTGATGTGATATGGGTATAAAACATTTTTTTCTTTAGTATATAGAGTATACCCAACCTCAAACACTATTTGAACTTTCTGTGAATTTTTTAGTGTTGCATAGTGTAATTATACCAGTCACTGTCTGTCCTGAAGATAGACGTGTAAATATATAAATAGTGCTAAGCAATACACCAGTTTCACGATTTATGGTCAAAACAAAAATGCTCCTACATTTAACACAAAGTTGAAATTTACACTTATTATTATCACTTATAAAAAAATGATTATAATTTAAAATTTTTTCTTCGAAAAATACTTCAAAGGAATTGTAACCAGTAACAACATTATTTTAATTTAATATTGGCTTACAAGAAAAAGTGTAAATTTACATCTTATTGTATAAACAATCCTACAAATTAAAAATTAATTACAAAATTATAAACACTGTTGTATATCGAAGAACACTTTCAACCACATATTTATTTGATAAAATTTTGTGATGACGTCATTAACTTTCTAGAGGGGATGAATAAAGTGTTAATCATTGTTCTGCATTAAATTAAGTATCTTTACAAAAATTCATTTCGTAGATTGTAATAAAATCTCTCAAATTTGCTTTTACATATTTTATTTTGTTTTACAATAACCCTCATAATACATGTCATTAAATCATTTTGAAATAATGTCATCAGATTTTTAGAGAGAATTCTATATACATATCTTAAATTGTAAAATTTTTGTTACAGTTTTTATTTAATAAATCATAGGGATAGAAACATATTATTATTACACATACACATTTTAAAGATGATTTACTTAGCATTTTACCATCGAAACGATATTCTAAATATACTGAGTGAGTCATTAATTATTAAAGATATAAAAAAAGATTAAAGATAAAATTGTACGGTTGTTTGAGTATGAATAGCATTCACTGAAATTATTTTCGACCATACAGAGTGTTTTACATTTGAAACATAGCACATAATTAATTTTTTAAAGAGAACATTCTATATGTATTTTTATGTATAGGATGATGAAAAAATTACGTATGGTATGGTCGAAGGTACGCTGTTAAGAAGGTTTTGAAGAAGTAAAAAAATGGTCAAAAAATCCCTGCACCAAACTCTGGAAAATATTGAATGTCAAAGTTGAAGAATTAAGTTCGTAATTCTGATTTGTTTTAATGAACTGCTTGTCTAATAGACAGTTAAACAATTAATTGTTGATAATTTAATAATAATTTGTTAGAATACGATTCAGAACGTCATTTTTTAGTGTTGACAGATGTCATTTTTGACCATTTTAATCGAAATTTTAGATTTTCAATTAAATTCACATTAAAACATCAAAATACGAAGTTCGAGGTCTGCTGAGCCTTCTTAACAACGTATCAGCGAGTGAAAAAAGTCATTTTTTTTTATCACCTGTATTCTCATTTGCCTCTCTCTAGGCTTTATAATTGTTACTTATTTTTGCAGCTCCGATGCGACGTTGCTACGTCATTCCAATTTTCTTGAATTTGTTTAGTCATTGCCCTTTCATTAAAGTGTTGACAAAAAATCGCAATAATGTTATTTTTAAGGTAATATTTTATGTACACATAAAGAAAGGTAGGCTCCTCACTGCAGTATCCATTAAATCAAATATTAATACACAGAGTGCTCATAAAAAAATCTAAAACGTAACAATTTTTATATATCGATGTTTAGTTTTTCAAATAGAACATCCTGTATTTTCACTTTTTTGGATATGTCGATGTACCTCTTAAAAAAGCAAAAAATGCAATAATAGAAAATACTTAAAAATATGATATTTGAAAATGAAAATATCGATATTTGAAAACTGTAATGATTTAAATTTTTGTATAAACACTCTGTATAATAAGAAAAAATTATATATATACTACAACAAAGCACGTACCTTCATTTATATCTCTACAAAATATTGTAGCAGAGTTTAAAAATAACCCTACACATAAAATAAATACATACAAAATTTGACAACAATCGATCCAGTAACTTTGGAGATTACATGTCTAATAAAATTCAACATAGCCCACAAACAGAGAGAAATGGGAGAACACTTTTTTCGTACTTCAGGGGTTATGAAACGTCGAGAAAACAAGAAAGTAGTAGTCGTCCGATGAACTCCATCACAAAAAGGTGAAAAATTAGCGACTGTTGTCAGAAACATTCTGAACAATTTTTAAGTTTTTTGTGATGTTAGGAAATGACGAAAACGATGGACAAAGACAAGATACCTCCAAAGTTAAGTAGTGAATTAAAATATGGTAAAATATCGAATAAAAAATTAAACTTTGAAAGGATATGTCTTCAATATTTGGGCCCAAGGATTTTTAAATAATTTTTGCTCTGCTCAATGAATAGTCTTTAACAACGTGTTATGGATTTTTTTTGAGCAGCCTGTATATTTTTACATACTCTGATTGGTTTGCTCATTATTTCAATTTTCTTTAAATTTTTTAGCAATGCAAGAATACGCAAAATGTGCAATTTTAACATTTTATATTGCAAATGTTGTACAAAAATCATTAAAAGTGCCAAAGTGGTACCAATAAAATTTAATCCTAATTTACAGAGTGTTAAAAAGCTAAAATAGAAAATTTTTCAAACATCGATATTTCAGTTTTTTTAAATATTCTATATTTTATTACCCCATCTTACTCTTATTTTTATTTTTTCTTTCGACACGTTGGTGTATCTTTTAAAAAAGTAAAGAACTGCAGAAACCATCAATATTAAATTGAGAAAATACTTAACAAAAAAGAAACAGAATAAAAAATCCAGTAAGATGAAGCAGTAAAACATAGGATGTTCTATATGAAAAGACTGAAATTAATGAATAATTATTAGATTTTAAAAAATATTTGCGAATCCTTACAAAGCTATAAAATTTCAACAAATTAAGTAGAAGTTGCCGATTGGAATTTCAAAACTAACTATGGCAATAAAGTTTAAAAAGAGGCCAATCAGGATATGTGAAAATATATACGGTGTTCCATTTAAAAATATAAACTGTTTATAAGGTCTTCAAAACAATGTCTTCGTATAATTAAAAATAATTTTAGCACGTGCTACTTACTCAAAGAACCGAATAATTTTAGTCTTAATTTTTTTATTTCTAATAATAATAATTAAAGAAATATCGTGAACATTATTTAAATCTGATACTATCGAAATCCCAAAAATCCAGTAGTTATTTTCGCATACAGTGTCATTCTTGAACACCACTGACATCGCAAACGTATAAGAATTTAAAAATCAATGACCATTTTTTATCATTAAAACAGTATTATTATTTAGCTAAACTGTTAACAACATAATGATTATTAGTGTGTTTCCTACTATAAACATGTTCCGTGTCGAACGTATTGACAATTTTATATATCAGAACTTACAAAATAATTTATAATTCAACCAAAATCGTTCAACTTAAATAAATAATTCACTCTATTGAAATCTACTTTCAACAACTGGTATAAAAACTTATAACCCCAGCGTTTATTTTAATTTAACACAGCGGTAAAAAAATAATACAAAAAGAAGTGAATCATGAAATTTTGATACACCCCTTTTTTCCGAAGAAAACAAACTTACTTAAAATGAGTTAACTGAGATGGAAAAGTAATTTCCTCAATTTTCCGGAAGTATACTTTGAACGTTGTAACAATGAATACGGATTTGAGTACGTACCGATTTTTTTGAGTTTTCTAAAATATGATTTTTTACGACGCTTATTTTTCAATTTATTCAAAACAAACCTGTATTTTTCCACCCTCTTATAGAATCTAGGCAACAACATACTTTAACATGACGTGTAATTTTATTCGCACAAAAGCTGTGACATGTAGAGGTATTAAAGCAGTTGAAGGATAATGAATGAGGTAAGGGTGGGGTGTCCTGGGGGATGAAGAATAAAGGTAGGGAACTTTAGCACGCATGTGGGTCAACAAGTATTCACACTCATATGTAGAAAACATGCATTCCCACTACCAGGCCCACATTTTGCACATCTTAAAATTGGCTCCACCAAGAACAAGGGATCGATATTTTCAACTCAGACACAATGAAAAACATAAAAGCGTCCGCCACACTACCTAGGGGATGGATATGAAAGTGCAAACTAACCATGAAAAGGGATATTGACCGTATCATTACACCAATTTAAAGAATTTGTCGGTCATTTCTAATTTATGGTCATAATACCAGCCGAGTTGTGAATTCCAAATGGATTTTCTTGGCTTTTCTCAACTCCCAGGTTCTGGTCTACCAACCAGACGTGAATTTATTTTCAACGTTGAAAGTATACAACTATTTTTAGGAAATGAACACCGTTAATTTATGTAGACAATAGTAAGATAAATTTTAAACTGTTTGCATATATTTGATGGTCTGTCGAGCTCGATTATTGGGTTTTATGAAGAAAACGTCCTCGGTTTTATAAATATCTACAATTCCTAAAAAAAATGGTTCAATTATTAAAAGTCAACTTCGAAATCGATAACAGCTGTTTATTGAATAATTTAAAATTAAACGATACAAAATTAGTAATTGCACGCTTTAATGAATAAGTAAACAAGATAAAAATACGCGAAACCATAACAAACCGTAAAAAGTAGGATGAATCGCTGAAAATGAAACTACCATAAAATGACTCTTTTTAATGGAGGAAATTTCGCTTGCCCATTCATACGGCCCGTGCTCAATTAATTTCCATTACCATTATGTGCTATGACAATTATTCTGATGTTTGGTCAACGGGCCGCTTTTCATTCTTGCGGAATGATCGTTAAGTATTAAACATTTATACGAATCGATATGGAATTACTGTTAACGCATAAAAGCGATATTTACACCTTCAAACAATAAAGGTAGCTAACATGAATTTGTTTTATGGAAATTGCTCATCAACAGAAGTCTATCTTATCAACACAATGACGTGTAAGCGAAATATTATACTACGACAGCACACAACGAACAATCAATGCTTTTAGAAATATAACTAAGGCTACATCCAACTTATCTTTTTGGTTAATTATTATTGATAAGTATTTCCAACATAGAGTAAAGTAAATAATTTCATTTTAAGAGCAAAACTTACAGAGTTTTACGCAAAAATTAACTAATTATTAGTTATTATTATTAACAAGAACATAAGATATTTGTAAACAGTTTCAAAAATATATTAAAAGTACAAATTTGACCTGTGCTGCAAAAATTTCAGAATTCACAATTCGGAATTTCAGTCTACATATGGGAATTGTGCGAGTCGAAGACGAGCGGTGATTTTCTACAGACAAATAAAATATGAAAGTTTAACTCCGATTTTCAGGCTAAATCAAAATATGTACCTGAAATAGGTTTTGTTAGAAAATGTTTTTAAAAATTTTAAGAATTTCGGTACCAAAGTTTTCAGAATTAATAATTGAATTCACAACTACGGAAGTACAATAAATTATACATTGCATGTGTTCGTCATTCGGATGAAAGAAGAATGTTTTTATACAAAATTTTTAAATTTTCATTAAAAAGTAAAGAACGTAGGAAAATAATTATGCATCTCAATGCTTTCAGAAAGTGGCGTTGTAATTTTTACTATCGTAATAACATAAACTAACGTAAGTACCTCGATTAAGAATGCGAAAAATTTTCATTAAATAAATCATACAAGACTGCAATCTGCACAAGTATGCAATTTTAGCTCGTAAAACTTAAAAAGAATATTTTTAAATTTCATCACAAGACGACTACATTTCATCATCTACTAAAAATAATCAATTGTAGACAGGCCAATGCTGCAGCGAGTTTGACCATAAAAAATGAATTTTAGAGAACTTTGACTAGTGGCGCCGTCTGTTAGTTAAAATCCTGTTCTTAAAAAACAATCCAATAACAATTTCTCAAATAATTGAAATTCTTTTGATCTCAGCTACAACTGAAAGAAATGAAAAGTCGGAAACTTCTGACTGAATTAACTTTTCACAACAAATTTCGTTAAAAATTCATAAGCCACCTCATAATTGCTTAAAATAGCAGTATTTCAATAATATATTGCAAAAATAAACGTTTACTTCACCGCAAACCAGTTTTCGGTTTTCAATGACAGATACTGCATTTATTACCAGTGATTGCCAAACAAATTTATGCACTTTCCTAATTTTCCTATTGAGATTAGGTTTAGGAGCAGGTAAACGGCTTTCTCGGCAGCTGTTCGAACGTCGAAAATTCGACCATATAGTAAAGCTTCATATGGGCATTTTGTGGAGACGTTTTTTTGAAAAGCAGGTGGTCAAAACTACCAGCTGCTGTACCACAACACTTTGATTCGTCGTCGACAAGGATAAAACATGCACACATATCCTTCTTATTCGCTTCCTGTGTCGAACAATCTGAGCTCCTTAACCTAATGGTAATTCGTACACTTCCTCGCATATATTAAAGCCTTTCAAGATATTAATAACCTGAGTCTTTGTTGGAGGACTAAAATATCCTCCGGGATTACATTATTGACTTGAAAACTTGGTAGTGTGAGTGAAATTGATCCAGTTTTTTTTGAGTTGGTAGGCTTTGGGCTTTGTTGGTTTTTGACGGTGTTGCGTTTTTGAAATTTTGTCGTAGTAGGCTTAGGGGAGAAAGCACCGGCGTGGGTGATGGAAAAAGTGATGTTTTGATTTATTGGTCGTAAAATGTGTTAAATTAAGCGAGTTTTTACTTACCAGTACGGTTTTCACTTAAAAAAAGCGGAACCTGCAGCGGAACAACGATTTAAATGCCGACAGTGAATTATTTTTTATTATTACACACGGAGATGACACATCCTCGCGCACTACCACCAATAATCAACAAAACTAACGCAACGCCTTTATACGAGGATGCACGAACTGTTACAAAGAATGCCGATCGCCGGCCTTACACCACTGTGTATTATGGGCTGCCTATAATCTAAAGATGTTTAAGGATTTTTCATTGCATTTTTAAAACCTGTATTTTAAAAAACTGTTAAAATTAAAAATGTTATATTCTAATGTGTCGTTTTTTCCTTTTTTTACAAGAACCAAGCGTCTTTTAATAGTTTGAAGTACTCACATTTTGTTATTTACTTTTTTGTTTTAAACGGCTAATAATAATAATAATAATAATGAGCAGGCTGTCTCATACTGTTATACCGTCATTTATAAAAACAGAAATGAGTGTTCTTAAAAAAAAACTGACATTAGTTTTGACACCGTGACACCGACGTTCGAGTGATACCTGACTAAACTGACCCTGAAAATTATTTGAACAGAACTTTCCTCACCCCTGAAGTACAATCACGCAAATTCAATTTCTTAGATAAATTATAAAATTTGATTTCGCCAGGTCTATTTTTTATGAGGACCCCTATGAGTAAAAATATAAGTAAAAAAGAATTTGTATGTTTCAAGTGAGTTTTCTCAAAATAAAATATTGTCATAACGTCATTTACAAATTTGGATAGGTACGGTTTAATGCTAATAACATTATTTCTCAGGAAAATGAGGTAAAGTGTTTTTGATATAATCAATAAAACAAACTGCTTCATTACCTAATTAATATTTCTGAACCATCCTGTATAAGCAGTTTAAAAAAATATAAATACACTGTTGAGATAAACCACTTCAGCAAAATTTTAAGATGACATCATCAAATTTTTTAAAAACAAACGATTATGTTAACGATTTACCATGTTTATGATACCTTTAACATGTTTGCAAGATTTCGGGGCATTCGATTTTGCAGTCTTTAAGTAAATTGTTATTGTTCAGGATGAGTTAGCTGAAAGGGGACACCTCGAACAACTTTTTCATTTATCAAACTATCGTCGTCTGAGAACTTGTTTGATCCACAGACCGCAGCGCGCTCAAGCCAATGTCGACTCTAAGCGTTCAGAATTTCTGAATTGTGTTTGATACTATCTAACAAAACGTTCTAAATTAGCAATACTAGGGGGACTAGTGCAATAGATTTTTTCGGAAAAGTGCAGTTATTTTTATATTTTAGAAGCACTGTGTTCTATTTTGTATTAATTTTTACATATTTTTAGTCACAATTTGGTAGTTATTTTTTACTTTTAGCAATAACGCGACATGCTTAAAAGCTCTCAGTGATCGAAAAACTGAAAAATTGAAAAATTATAAAAAAATTAGAGAATCGAAAATTTAAAAATTTCGAAAATTGAAAAATTGAATTGTAGAAGAACTAAAACCTAAAATTTTAAAAAGCTGAAAAGTGAAAATATCGAAAAGTAAAAAGTCGAGAAATCGAAAAATTCGGAACTCGAAAAAATGAAAAATACAAGAAAAATTGAAGAATCGAAAAACTGAAAAATCACAAAATTGAACGAAATATTCAAAAATTGAGAAATTAAAAAATTGAGAAATCGAAAAACTGAAGAACTGAAAGATCGAAGCCTTGGGAAGTCGAGGAATAGGAAAATCAAAAAATAGATTAATTGAGAAATCGGAAAACTGAAAATTCAGAAACGTCAAAATTTTAATAATTAAAAAATTTAAAACTTTGAAAACTTAAAATATCGTAAAATTGAAAAGTGGAGAAGTCTAAACATCAAAAAATCAAAATTCGAAAATCTAAAATTTAAAAATCGAAAAACTGAAAAATCAACAAATCGAAAAATCGAAACTCGACAATTAAAAAAATTGGAAAATTGAAAAATCGGATAATTCAAAAATCGAAACATCGAAAAATCGAAACATTGAAAAATTGAGAAACCGAAATGGGCCAAAATCGAAAAGTTAAAAATGAAAAAATTGATAAATCGAGGGATTGAGAACAATCGAAACATCCGAATCTCGATAAATCGAGATCTCATAAAATTGATAAATCGAAAATTTAAAAATTCGGAAGACTGAAAAATTAAAAAGCTGAAAACTCGAGAAATCAAAAAATTTAGAATTTTAAAAATTGAAAAATCGAAAAGTTGAAAAATCGAAAAATCCAGAACTCGAAAAAATGAAAAATACAAGAAAAATTGAAGAATCGAAAAACTGAAAAATCCCAAGATTGAACGAAATATTCAAAAATTGAGAAATCGAAAAGTCAAAAAAGTAAGTCGAAAAATCGTGAACTTAAAAAATCGAAAAATTGAAAAATCAAAAACCTGAAAAATCGAAAAATTGAAAAACTGAAAGATCGAAGCTTTGGGAAGTCGAGAAATAGGAAAGTCAAAAAATAGATTAATTGAGAAATCGGAAAACTGAAAATTCAGAAACGTCAAAATTTGAATAATTAAAAAATATTGAAGAACTGAAAAATCGAAAAGTCGAAAAATCTAAAATTTAAAAATCGAAAAATTAAAATATCGTAAAATTGAAAAGTGGAGAAGTCTAAACATCAAAAAATCAAAATTCGAAAATCCAAAATTTAAAAATCGAAAAACTGAAAAATCAACAAATCGAGAAATCGAAACTCGACAATTAAAAAAATTGGAAAATTGAAAAATCGGATAATTCAAAAATCGAATAGCCAAAAAGTAAAAAATCGAAAAATCGACAAATCGAAAAATCGAAACATTGAGAAACCGAAATAGGCCAAAATCGAAAAATCGAAAAGTTAAAAATGAAAAAATTGATAGATCGAGGGATTGAACAATCGAAACATCCGAATCTCGGTAAATCGAGATCTCAAAAAATTGAAAAATCGAAAATTTAAAAATTTGTAAGATTGAAAAATTAAAAAACTGAAAACTTGGGAAATCAAAAAATTCAGAATTTTAAAAATTGAAAAATCGAAAAGTTGAAAAATCGAAAAATCCAAAATACAAGAAAAATTGAAGAATCGAAAAACTGAAAAATCCCAAGATTGAACGAAATATTCAAAAACTGAGAAATAAAAAAATTGAGAAATCGAAAAGTGAAAAAAGTAAAGTCGAAAAATCGCAAACTTAAAAAATGGAAAAACTGAAGAACTGAAAGATCGAAACTTTGGGAAGTCGAGAAATAGGAAAATCAAAAAATTGATTAATTGAAAAATCGGAAAACTGAAAATTCAGAAACGTCAAAATTTGAATAATTAACAAATATTGAAGAACTGAAAAATCGAAAAGTTGAAAAATCTAAAATTTAAAACATTGAAAAATTAAAATATCGTAAAATTGAAAAATGGGGAAGTCTAAAGATCAAAAAATCAAAAAAATAAAAATTCGAAAATCTAAAATTTAAAAATGGAAAAACTGAAAAATGAACAAATCGAAACTTGGAAAATTGAAAAATCGGATAATTAAAAAATAGAAAAAACGAAACATCGAAAAATTCAAAAACTGAGACAGCGAGAAATCGAAAAATCAAAAAAACGAGAAATTGAGGAGTCGAAAAGTCGAGAAATCGAAAAATTGAAAAATTGAGAAACCGAAATAGGCCAAAATCGAAAAGTTAAAAATGAAAAAATTGATAGATCGAGAGATTATGAACAATCAAAACATCGAAATATCCGAATCTCGATGATAAATCGAGATCTCAAAAAATTGGAAAATCGAAAATTTAAAAATTCGGAATATTGAAAAATTAAAACATAGAAGAACTGAAAACTCGAGAAATCGAAAAATCTAGGATTTTAAAAGTTGAAAAATCAAAAAATCGAAATATAAAACAGTCGAAAAATTGAAAAATCTGAAGTTTAAAAAACGAAAAACTGAAAAAACCAGAAGTCGATGATCGAAAAGTCGAAGAAACGAAATATTGAAAAATACCAAAACTGAAAGAAATATCCAAAAATTGAGAAATAAAAAAATTGGAAAATTGAGAAATCGAAAAATCGAAACTTGGAGAAAAAATGAAAAAATTGATAGATCGAGAGATTATGAACAATCAAAACATCGAAATATCCGAATCTCGATGATAAATCGAGATCTCAAAAAATTGGAAAATCGAAAATTTAAAAATTCGGAATATTGAAAAATTAAAACATAGAAGAACTGAAAACTCGAGAAATCGAAAAATCTAGGATTTTAAAAGTTGAAAAATCGAAAAATCGAAATATAAAACAGTCGAAAAATTGAAAAATCTGAAGTTTAAAAAACGAAAAACTGAAAAAACCAGAAGTCGATGATCGAAAAGTCGAAGAAACGAAATATTGAAAAATACCAAAACTGAAAGAAATATCCAAAAATTGAGAAATTAAAAAATTGGAAAATTGAGAAATCGAAAAATCGAAACTTGGAGAAGTCGAGAAATGGGAAAATCAAAAATAGATTAATTGAGAAAGCGGAAAACGTCAAAATTTGAAAAATTGAAAAATAGAAATACTGAAAAACTGAAAAATCAAAAAATCGAGAAATTGAAAAATCTAAAATTTAAAACATTGAATAATAAAAATATCGCAAAATTGAAAAATCGAGAAATCAAAACAAAAAATAAAAATTTGAAAAACTAAAATTTAAAACATTGAAAAACTGAAAAATCGACAAACCGGGAAATCGAAACTCCAGAATTTAAAAAATTGAAAACTCGAAACATCGAAAAATTGAAAAGCCCAAAGTAAAAAACCGAAAAATCAGAGGATCGAGAAATCATGGAGTCCAAAGCTGAGAAGAAAAGTTAAAAACTGAAAAAATGATGAGTCGAGAAATTGAGCAATCGAAACATCGAAACATCTGAATTCGATAAATCGAGAAATTGAAAAATTAAAAAATTTGGAAAAAGAAAAATCGGAAAATCGAAAATGTAAAAATTCGGAAAATTAAAAAATTCAAATATAGGAGAACTGAAAGTTCGAATAAAACAGTCGAAAAATTGAAAAATCTAAAGTTTGACGAAAAATTGAAAATCCAAAAAGTAAAAAATCCATAAATCAAAAAATCCAGGAGTCCAAAAATCGCAAAGTCAAAAAATCGAAGTATTGAAAAATCCCAAAACTGAAAGAAATATCCAAAAAAAAGAGAAATTAATAAATTGGAAAATTGAGAAATCGAAAAACTAAAAAAGCAAAGTCGAAAAATCATAAGCTTAAAAAATCGAAAAATTAAAACATCAAAAACCTGAAAAATCGATAAATTCAAGAATTGGAGAAGTGAAAAATGGAAACTTTGGGAAGACGAGAAATGGGAAAGTAAAAAAAAGATTACTTCAGGAATCGGAAAACTCAAAAATTTAGAAACGGCAAAATTTGAAAACTTGAAAAATCAAAATATTTACAAGTAGTAAAATTGAAGAGAACAAAAACTGAGAAATCGTCGTATCACTGAAACATCGGAAAATAGAGAAATCGAAAAATAAAAAATCGAGGAATCAAAAATTTGAAGAATGAAAAAAAAGAAAAAGTCCAAAATTGAAATATTGAAAAATTGAAACATCCAATGCTGAAAAATCGAAAAGCCGAAAAATCGCAATAGCGTATTTATAAACCACAAGTTGAGGACTATACTATTTTTTAACATTTAAATAACATTTATTCGACCAAATTCTAAGATGACAATAAAATACAATAATTTACGAATATTAAATAATGAAACTAATAAAGCCATTTTTTTTACTGCAAAGTCTGAAAAAAAAATTAAGTCATATTTCTGCAATATATTTTTTCTGTTACTTTTTTAAAAGCAGTGAATTTACGTATGCACGTATTCTCCATTTGCAAGTTTAATGTTGCTACTTTTGGCTAATAAATAAAGTTATTCGAGTTGTCCCCTTTTAGCTGACTCACCCTGTACAATTTTGATTTTTGTTTCCCAAAAATTCTGGATATCGAAGATAAAACATATAGGCGTCTTCGTAAATTAGAGAAAATTTTGAGATGACGTCATAAAATTACTAAAACACATTTAAAATTTCACATCAGTCCAATAGTTTTGAAAAATTACCTTATTAAAGTCACCAATAGACGAGAGGTAGACGGAAACAGGAGACCTACTTTTTCGTATTCTGGAAATGATGAAACGTCATAAAAATGTGAACCTAATTTCATTTTTATTGGTCCTTTTTCTTACATAAACATAAAATGCAAAATGTTACCTTGTATTTCTGTTTTTTTAAGAATGTTTAAATTTAAAGCCACCATCAAGACAATTTTGTGGTTGTTAACTCTATGTAGACTAGGAATAAAAACTAAGTTATTTTCACAATAATTATTTATTTTTATATTTCAGAATTCTTACATACAAAATCTTAAATTAACTATTACATATTATTTTGTAGCATAAAAACTCTCACACACACACACATCATCCATTCAAAAACAATCAGCACTATTTACGTATTAATGCCATATTTTGACTTCATCTTATCAATTTCTTCCTGTTTCTTCTCAATATCGGTCTTCTTAAATGCTTTACTGGCTTGATAATACAACACAACTAAGTACCTATTACAAACATTAAACCCTGACAAATGATCACAAGCATTCTTGGCATCAAAAATATCTTCATACACAACAAATGCTGTTCCCCTTGTTTCCGGAGTATTCCCCACACGAATTTGTCTGATGGCGCCATATTTGCCAAAAATATCGTACATTTCCTCTGCTGTTATTTTGTAAGGCAGATTTCTTATGTACAAAATACGGTTGATCTCGGGGGGCAACCTAACCTAAAAATACACCAAAAACTATTTTTGCGAAAAGAACACAAACAAGTACTTACGTTTGCCTTTCTTTGCATTGCCAACGCCATTTCGATGTATAATTTTTTAACAAAACCAACAATAATAATTAAGTGCAAAATAAAATTGTATCAACACCACTACAAGTGTCAACGTACTGCCAACGTAATTACTACCAACCGTTCGATTAAACAAACAAAAATTCCCACACGAGAAACGAAAACGACGATTAATTTTCTACATCTGGCTCTGGAATATCAACATTGGCCACTAATTCAACCAGAGACCGGTCATTAATCGATAAAGAACATCCTTCCTGTCTTACAATCGGCTTAATAGTTTTGCTATTCTTAAACAGCTCTTTCGTTCGTTTAATAATGGTTTCGTCGATTCCAACTTGAGCAGCAATATTAAAAGCAAAACTATTAGAAATACCTTCCGTAACTTTATACAAAAACGACAAAACACCGTTTTGTTCAGTGTGCGCCATTTTTAAATACTGAACTAAAACCCCTTCTGGCAAGTAATCGACAATCTTTTGATGATGTGTAGAGACAAGAATGTGAGGGCAGTCGCTGTTCTTTTTGTAAAAATCGCGCAGTACACCAACCAACAACGCGAAACCTTCTTCCACTGTAGTTCCTCTGCCAAACTCGTCTAACAAAATCAAAGAATTGGCATTCGCGTTGTGTATTGCTTGGGTCGCCTGTTTATTAAAAATATTGTTATTTAGTAGAGCTCAAGAAACACAATACCTGAATTGCGTCTATCATGAATGCAGATAAACGCACAGATGCAGATTCTGTTGCTTGCATTCTGGAATGTATGCTATGCATCATACCAATATTAGCGACTCGTGCTGGAACGTAAGACCCAACGTGCGCTAAATAAATAACTAAAGCAACTTCTTTTAAATACACGCTTTTGCCGCTACCATTCGGGCCTGTGATTATTTTTATGTGGCTGTAATTATTTCCCGAGAAAAAATCGTTGGATTCGAAGTTCGACACGAGCTCCAATAAAGGGTGTCGGCAATCTTGAATTTCGTGTGTATTTTCTGTGTTTAAACTAGGCCGGACGTAATTATTTTGGGCCGAAACTTTAGCTATGGCGATTAATCTACGAAGGTGAAATGAAACAACAAAATGATTGGGTGCTGAGAAATGTTACGCATCGATTAGGGCTAAAACCCGGAGGGGTTCTCTTATATCCTTATTGTATTTAAGTATAAAGGATGAGAGCCGTTGCAGGATTCGATTTTCGTGGGCTATTATTTCCGCGTTTATATCCCCCAAGCTTTCGTCCAATTCTGAAAGGAAATTTTAGCGAAATTGTGGGAAACAGATTGGACTTACCTAGACAGAGTGGATTTTTATAATGAATCGTGCCACGAAGGGTAAACTACAAGAATTGATTCAATTTATAATAGAAAATAACTATTAATACCCAGTGAAGTCACGAAACAGAATAATAATCATAGAGGAACTAAAACTATAATTAATGAAAGAACTAAAGTAACGAAAAAAACTTGTACTGCTTCAGTGATTCAATGGGTTTAAAGTACCATAAAACGAAATCCTAGATCTGCAAGACTTTCAGGATCACAGTGGGGTTCCCATTCTTTAATCGCAAGAAGGTGACCCATTTCTGGTAAATATACGATAGCACATTCGTGTAAATAATCCGGAAGTTGCTGAGCTGCCAGTTCAGCAGCTGCTGTCACATGTTGAGCGATATCCTGGCGCCTAAGTTTCTCTAAATATTCATAATCTCAGAATATTATTTAATAACTTAAAAAATACCCTACTTGCGTCTAAACTTTCATCAAGTCCTAACTTTATGACAGGTCGTCCAAAATTTTTATTAGCTGTGAAGTCGATGGCGTTGTTTATTGAATTTTCTAAACCGATTAATTCCGTCGTTACTGAATGATAAAATTCGTGTAATAATTCACAAGAGTTTTTATACGGAGATGTTAGTTCTCTAATGAAAAGCGCATGATAAATTGACTGAAATTATGGTTAATAAATCGAAAGTAAAATTGGAAGCACACATACTTTGTATAAAATGTTCCAGTCTCTACAATTTGCCCTCGAATTTTTAATTTTCGTCAGAATAATCTAGAAAATATGTAATACAGACGCAACTAAACCAAACACAACTTACAGTGACGTCAGATAAGGTTTTAATATTATCTTGTAAACTTTCAACAAATTCTTGGTGATTAGGATGAAGAACAAAAGTAATAAATTCCAAACGTTTGCTTAATTCGTGAATGTCGTTCACGGGTCTAAGTAACATATTCCTGCAGACATTTAATACAAACACATTAGTAACCAATACCGTGAAATACCTTAAGCATGTTTGTCCTACTTTTGACTTACAACTGGATGAGAAAAGTCTAAAAATACTTAGACCTTCGCGATTACTAGACTGTATGCCTCTCTTGAAGTTAGCGTCATGTGAGCACTGTTGAAAGACTTGAAGTGCGTTTAAAGTAGTCCAGTCCATTAAAACGTGACCTTTCCTATAAAACCGTCGATAAATAAGTATTTATGGAATATTATTAATTATCACACAGTGAGATCTGGGAAACTTGTAAATACTGTAGATCGCTTCTGGCAGACATAAAGTGCGCCCAATTTTTATCTAAATATTTGATCAAAGCTCCTGCAGCATATATTGACATTTTATAATCAAAATTTAGTAATGAGTTCACATAGAGTTCTTTTTCAGCTTCTGACATATCTGCAGTTGTACATAAATTCAATTCAGAGAGCACAGATCTACATATTTCAAAAGCTGCAACAAAAGTGTGATTTCTGGAAATATAAACATACAACATACAATATTCTTTGAAAGACAATAGGAACATGTTCGGGGGGACACTTCTCAACGTGTCTACCGTTGAAGTCGCATCATTTGACACAGACATATCTATTAAATATTTAACGTATTCCTCACTTTGCTTTCCCACAGTTACGAGGTATTTTGGAGAAACTTCTCGATAGACTGAACATGTAAGGAAAAATTGGGGAGCAGTATCTGTAATTTCTTCATACACATATAACTACATAAAAGAATATACTTAGTAAGTGAATATTGAAACAAAGAACTCACAGATTTATCTTCACCACAAAAGTAAGCAGCCCCCATTTTACCGTTTTTCCACAACAAGCACAGAATTTTCACATCACTGTTATCACCTCTATCATCAGTTTCAATTTCTTCACTTATATTTGGTAAATTTTGTCTTATAGAAAAAATTAACTCAGAATTTTCAGAAGACTCCATTTTTGTTTGAACACACAAAAATCTCGTATTTAATTTAAATCAAGTAGGCACTTAAATACTGACAACCTGACAATTGAACGCCAATGGCACCAACTGCTTAAGTTAATTACACCACAAACTCAAGTCAAACCACCTGATTTACAAAATCATAAAATTAACAGATTTATTATTGCATGTATAGTTAAAAATTAAAATATTGTGCCTACAACTTATGAATCATCAGGGTCGTACTTATGTAATTTAAGTCGCCACTGTTTGATTAATCCATCCCAACCGCGTCTTGAATACTTTAGGTACTTATTAGGGGTCTGTGGGTCATCCGATTTGCGTTGGTTTCTGAAAAAACACCATTAACACGAAAATAATAACGTGCATAAATAATTACTTTGGAACACGTTTACAATACTCATCATAACCTATTGTGTTCTTCCCATAGTCAATTTGTTTTTGTCTTCGACTTAAGACAGCAGGGTCTGTTTCTAAATCATTTTTGCGCGTTTTTTTCCTTAAAAGTGTCATTATAAAAACTGAGAAAATGATAATGAACTAGTTACTTTTGTATGGTTTTGTTGTTTTCATCAAAGTTTGGGTTGTTGATTCTACTTGAGGAAGGCCCCAGTTTTTCAAGCGCTGATTTATATGGCGAATCTCGCTTTTTGTATAAAGAAATTCTGGCACTTTTCAGACTTTTCCGAGAATTTGAATCAGAATTTTCATAACCATCAATTTTCATAGGGGAAGTTAGCTCCTCCAGAACTTCCTTCTTTATATGAATGTTCTCAAAGGCTTCTGTACATACTGGAAAGTTGGTCTCTTCGTCAAACAGCTCATGTTTGATGGTCGTTTTTAAAGCGGGATCTTCTTTGGTTGCACTACTCGTTGCCTCTTTAAATGGATTAAAAGCCAACTCTTCAAGCTCTTCTTTGATGTCGTTCTTACTTATTAAATTTGCCAGAGAATCTTCGGAATCCTAAAGAGGAATGTTTAGTCTTTACACCTAAATAATTTTGAGATATAATACTTCATCAAAAATGCGTGCATTTTTCAGGGAAGTATTCACTGAAAATCTACTTTTGATGGTTTCCATTCTGGTTTTGACTGATGAACATTGAAACTGAGTAAGTACTTATATGACTGCTAATATGTGGGACTTATATAATTAAAAACTGTAAAAATTATTTTAACACAAAATATCTCAAACACAAATATTTTGATGGTCATAACCTCGTTTTACCGCGTATATTTGACACTCAGTGTAGTAACAACTCCCTGACCAAAATCCCCACTACTAAAAACGCGGCCTTTCAAATTAAACACTGATCTAAAATTTACAATTTATTTACATAACATTACAATGGTTCATCAAAAAACGATTTCCGCTGCACTACAGGTACATGCTTATATCTAATAAAATAGTTGTCGTTTCCTAACGCAGTATACGTTCTTTCGCCTTCTTTCCCCAAAAGTTTTCTCAGCGCAATATTTCTGTGCACTATCTTACTATAAAACTCCTTCCCGCCTTCTGCAAAAACGGGATTTTTCTGCTTCAACTCCTTATCAATTTTGCTTTCAAAATAAACTTGTGAAACATCTTTACACAAAGCATAACTTCCAAAAGAAAAAGCTCCTACTAATGCATACAGCACAAACCTTAAACTTCTTGGTCTTGCAAGTAAATTTCCCCTCTCGTTAAACAAGCGACATAATCCGTACATTCCAGTAAAAGACAACACGGCCACGCCTGTATCAATAAACCACTTAGGAGTATCTCGGAACTTGATTTCTCTAGCCATTGCGTAAAGTTGGGCATTCTCAGACAAAACAAGCGACTTCTGAAGGAGCTTCCCCTCATCCATATCCCACACGATGGAGTCATCTCTTAATTTGATTGAATGCTTATCAACAGAAGATAAATCATTATAGAAAAAATTTGCTGGTAGTCCCACACGCACACCGTATTTACTGTACGACGTACCGGCACTAAAAATGTCAAAACCGTAGCCCGCGAAGGGCTTATATAAATGCTGATCGCGTTTATCGATTTCAAGAAGATCTAAAGCTTTCTGGAATCTTTGTTGTAGTTGTTCCGTTAGTTTGACTGAAAATCCATGTTTGTAGAGATGGAAAACTTCAACGTATTGGTCCAGGAGGAGGGTTTGGGGGAGTACGTGGGCTAAAAGGATGCCTGTGGACCCCGTACCGGCTGCATAGTAGGAAAATTTTCTGCCGGCGTCTGTTATTAACCAAGATGATAATTTTTTCCACCAAGCCATAGTAGTGTTTTATATTACACGTTCATGACTAGTACACACTTAATTAAGCGAATTTTCTTAAATTTGCAGTTTTTACATAACCTCAAATTGTCATTCACACTTTTGGTTGGTACAACTGCGCATGCGTGCATTGTTACACAACGTAACTTAGGTCTGTTCAGCACACTTTTTTTAAGGGTGCCCAGTAGCAGACCGAAAAATGAGCTACATCATGGCCGACTAGTATAAAGATATATATATATATCTTTATACTAGTCGGCCATGGCTACATAAATAGAAGTTCATTGCACGGGCGTAATTTTAACTTTGAAAAAAAGATCGACATTTCAATTGATAAATTATGTCTAAATCTCTGGGGAAGACACAATATTTTTTAAAATAAGTGATTGTTTAGTGTTTAATTAATCGTTCATTCGTCGAAGGAAATTCAATTTTTAGACGAGGAGAGAACATGTTTCGCTTCAACTTTTATATCAGTGCAAAGACAACATTGAGCTCTATGGGGAAGAACCGGTTATTTTTGTTTAAAATTTATATTTATCAAAATATTTGCTTTTTAAAAAGTATTGAATAATGAAAATAACGTGAAACTAGGCAACCCTATTTACAAAGGATCCGTTTCAATCAATGGTTCAGTTTTACACAGCAGGGAGCCTTGCTGACCGACCCTTTCAGGTAATCAGTTCAGGTCATAAAACTCATAAATACTCTTAACCGACGAATATTGTTGAAACTCTTTTACAAGTCGACTTTTTTCATTGCTGACATAATTTGATTTAAAAGTATGCAAATTTTTAGAATTTGATACATTCTACTAAAATATTTTCTTTCAAAAAATTATTCGAATATTTTTTAATAATCTGTCATTTTATATATGAATCAATACACAAAACTGATAACATTTAGATTTTCATTACTTCACTAACCAGTTATTTACCTGAACAATCACATTTATTTAAATTTAATTTTTTGATACTCTTTTCCGCACCACCTATGAGGTAAAGTATTATAGGGGCGTTTTTTTTTACGTGGTATCTCCAGTAGACCTATTTTTTCCACAATGCAAATACAATTTTTTAAATTTACATTTTTTTTTTAGAATTTGTCTGATGGGTTGACTTCTTTTATAAGGAGAATCTACTATCTCTGGAAGTAAGGCATGTAAATAAAATTTTTCTAGGGGCTCTAAACTCAAATCCATAAGGTTGTAACCACTCCCTAGTGTAAATTTTTAAAAATTATTCAGTGTAAATCTGTCTTTTAATAACCTGGTGACATATTTGGTGACCTGTCAATATAATGTCAGTTCATTCATGTATTCGCGACACATGATTACGTTCGACTTCACTGCAATTCTTGCACTCCTGCACAGGTTATTTCATAATTATCATTGTAACTTGTCGCAATATTGTAAAAACTGATAAACAATTTTCAGTAAAAACAGGATAACCTGAGTCTTCATGGTAATTATAATACAAGAGCAACGATAAATAGAAACGTGTTTTATCTTTCATCTGTAGAAAGAATGCCACCTGCTGTAATTTAGACTTGCAGTCGATACGTTTACGAATTACGATAAAATGAACCCAAAAATATTGTGGTCACGAATGAAATCAAATATTGGGCTGGTAAAAAAACAAGGTGAATTGATTTATTTATTGTTGCTGCTTCATAAAAATTACTTTACAGATGGGGAATAACTGAGATATTCAGAATTTGTTTAAATTATTGTACATGAGTATACGTGATAATTATATGTGTGGCTAACTATGACTCGAAGGATCAGCTCTCTCGACTGAAATGATCAATCTCGCGAGCAACACCAAAATTGTCTATAATGGGTAGATCACCTTAATTAGTTGCAATGGATGACCAATTTTTCATCAAAAAAATGGGACACCAACAAGTCTTTAATGTTATGTTTAATAACTCTAATATTTGGTACTACTTATTATTTACAAAATGTACAAGGGATTTGGTTGAAGGCGATAGGTCTGGCTATGCTCCTCCATCCTGACGATTTTAGTGGTAATAATGAACAAAATGTAACTTCACAAAATTCAGAGGCTAAAATAATAGGTATGTTGAAAATAATTTGACGGCTTATTTAAACTTACTGTTACAGGAGTGGTTAGAAACATTGGGAACACATAGACCAAATAACCAAAAAGCAATTATTTTTCTGTTGTTAACTTTCTTAAATCTGAATCCCATGGATTTTAATACTCAACGTAAAGTATTTAAACTTGCTGTATATTCTGGATGTTCTTTCGCAAAAATAAACAAATCCTGAAGAGTAAAAAACTCATTTTTTTTGTTTTTGTCAAATATACGGTAGGTTAGATCTTCTTTAAGTTCCAAATTTGAATACCACTGCGATTTTTGTTTTGGTTTCCACTTTGCTTCTTGTAACGGTTCTCCAGATTGGTGTTGGGTTATAATTTTGTGGGCTTGACATCGAGAACACTATGGAAAGGATAGGAATTAATGATAAGTTTACAGGGAAAGTATGCAGTGCTTGAATTTAATGAGGGACATTTAGTTGTATTGTGTAGGATATAAAGAGTGGGTATAAAACTTGAAAAGACAATGTTGTACTAAAAAGCGAGATATACACTTTCAACTTGAGATAGTTAAAACTAAAAGTCCTTCGACATACCACCATGTTGTAATAACATGAAAAAAGTTCCGAATGTCGATACGTTACTCTCATAGTATAGTACTCTCTTTCCATGGTATAAGAATAACTACATACTGAAAAGATTTTTACAAGCTTGAATTCAAGTTCTCGGGAGGATGCTTGGGGATAAGCAAGTTTCAATTCATTGTGGCAGTTGGCAAGTGCCATTTTCATCTGCTTATTTACCACAATATGCCGTGTCGGTACCATTTTTCAATGGTATGGTTTAATAACAAACTGTGAGATATTTAAATAAAACTCTCTCGTGCGTAATTGTCAAATTTTGACATATGCGCCGCTACCAATCTGTTCATGTGAAAAACACCATTGGCTGTAATGCCAACCTTAAAATTTAACGAGTTGTTACAACCTTATGGATTTAACTGTATCATATTATATGCCCAAAATTTATCGTCTCGTTAAATTATGCAATATTTATTTTTTTTTTGTTTAACTAAGAATTAATTCTTTAATTGTGTTTGATACAAATAAAACGTCCTAAATTAGCAATACTAGTGGAACCGTAATCATCCAATAGATTTTTTTTGGGAAAGTACAGTTATTTTTATGTTTTAGCAGCATTGTGTTCTATTTTCTATTAATTTTTGCATATTTTGAGTCACAATTTTGGTAGTTATTTTTTACTTTTACTTTTAGCAATAATAAATAATCCAAACATGAAAAAATCAAAAAAATAAAAATTGGAAAATCTAAAATTTAAAAATCGGATCATTGAAAAATTGAAATATAGAAGAACCGAAAACTCGAGAAATAAAAAATCTAGAATTTTGAAAAAATGAAAAATTAAAATATCGAAAAGTTGAAAATTGAGAAATCGAAATATAAAACAGCCGAAAATTGAAAAATCTAAAGGTTAAAAAACGAAAAACTGAAAATCGGAAAATCCAGAAGTCGAAAAATCGTAAGCTTATAAAATCGAAAAATTGAAAAATCAAAATCCTGAGAAATTGAAAAATTGAAACATCAAACACCTGAAAAATCGAAAAATTGAAGAATTGAAGAAGTGAAAAATCGAAACTTTGGGAAGAAATGGGAAAATAAAAAAAAGATTACTTCAGAAATCGGAAAACTGAAAATTTAGAAACGTCAAAATTTGAAAAATTCAAAAATTGAAAAATCGAAATATTTAGAAATCGTAAAATTGAAGAGGATAAAAATTGAGAACTTGTATCATTGAAACATCGGAAAATTGAAAAATCGAAAAATAAAAAAATGAAGAAACCGAAAATTTGAAGATTGGAAAAATTGAAAATGCCCAAAATTGAAGTAGGTACTGAAAAATTGAAACGTCTAAAGCAGAAAAATCGACAAATCTAAAAGCCGAATAATCTCAGTAATGTATTTATAAATCACAAGTTCAGGATTATGCTGTAGACAAAACTGTTGAACTTCCTTGTCCACTTTGTTTACAAAAATAATTTGCACATTTAGAATGGTCCCCTAATATGTGGTTAGGTCCATTCAGGATGTCATTTTTTAAATTAATTTTTTTATGCCAAGGAACGTTTTCGTTTTTTCTGTATCTTATATCTGGAAATCTAATCTTGAAGCGTTATATTCTGCCTCGATACCTTTGGCTAGGAAAAAATACGATCAACTGCAAGAACAGAAGTTGTTCGTGTCGGAGGAGTTTTACATGGAATTATAGTAGCCTGCATAGATATTGTAGCCGTCCATAGAGTCGAAATTTGCGAATAAAAATAAAATAAAACCGGCTCAAACGGAGCCGACGACGGCTTGCAAGTTCTGTCACTACAGCACGCGTCACATCACACAGGGGTGTATTTAAGTCTGTTTGCACAAAATCTTAGGGTCACTGTAATCTTACTATTTTCTATCTACGACAAACGATTTGTCACACAGCTACGAAACCGATGATCTAGAGAAAGATGGAAGTTTGAAAATTTATTTCAACAAGTGTAATAATCGTTTGGTGCAACACAATTGGTTCAAGCAAACTAAAATATGACAGGAAACAAACAGTCCACGTGGACTAGCTTATAGGCGTGTTTGCTGCTAAGATGACTAGGTTTTTCGCTCCACCTGCCTCCGCAACGATGAATATACCATACCACAACTTGTGTACAGTGAACAGAGCTTTGATTTTATTGACGAGATTCAGCTCAGAAATTAAACAGATTATGTCATAACGGAAAAAATGACATTTAATATTAAATACTCTGGCACACGTCACTCTGTGCAACGTCTGCCAGAGTGACGTCAGACTTTGCAAGCCACCGTCGGCTCCGTTTGAACCGGTTTTACTTTATTTTTATTCGCAAATTTCGACTCTATGGACGGCTACAATATCTATGCAGGCTACTATACCTTACAGATGGCCAGGGCCGGATTAACAGGGGAGGCAGAGGAGGCACTTGCCATAGGCGCCAACGTGAAACAGGCGCCAAATGTGGCTAAATTCAATTTCAAATTATTAAAAATATTTGAAACAGATGCATTTTTTTCTAGACTTCGGAATCGGGTAGTAAACGCCTTCGCTAAAATATAAGCGATATCTTTATGCTTTAAACCGGCCTGCAGGTAAAAGCCTGCCGCCTTGGCCGTCAAGACCGGAAGTCGGACTGTCAGACACCGAGACCCAATAGACATATATTAGGCACTAATAAATAATCACTTCAGTTGTCGGCATCTTTGTTTGGTAATGTATACTTTTTATTTTAGGGGAGAAACACATTTTCTGTCCCCGAATTTTCGCAAAATAAGTTTAGTCACAGTTTAGTCTTGTCTTTGCAAGCATACGAAACAAACAAAAACTAGATTGTCGTTCATTTGTGCTTTCTTTTAATAACATTGTATTATAACGTGAATTCTTTCAGTGTCAGTGATTTAACAAAGGTAAGAAAAATAAAATTCAAAATATAAAATTACATCCGCCCACAGACATATTTTTTTTAATTTCTTATACACATTCAATATAAGCGATTAAAAAAAATATGTCTGAAATTAACAGATGTCCGGACTTGGAATGAAAAGAAAATTATCTGGGTGGGATAACTATAAAAGAAAAATTGCAAAACAAGCAGAAATAAAAAAACAAGAGGGTTCCTTGAAGAAATTTTAATTATGAGGCTAAAGATGAAAATATTATAGATCCCCAAAAAAAATTCCAAATTGAATTTTATTATGTAATTTTAGATGTTGGAATAAATGCGGTATCAGAAAGGTTTCAGCTTCTTCAAGAACACTGTGAGCTCTTTAGCTTTTTATATAATTTTAAAAATTTAAACGAGATACCACCAAATGAGTTGTTAATTGTATGGACCTTCAACTGGCATTGACAGATGAAGAAAATAAAGACATTGATGGTAACGATTTGTATAGGGAGTTACACGATTTGTTGCTACAACCCAGTGTATTCGCACCAATAGATGTTCTAAATTATTTGCACAAAAACGAAATATTATCATTGTACCCGAACATTGCAATTGCCCTAAAACTTTTACTGACCATCCCAGTTTCAGTCGCTTCAGCAGAACGAAGTTTTTCTAAATTAAAAATAATAAAAAATTACCATCGGTCAACAATGACACAAGATAGTCTTAACGATCTCGCTATTATATCTATTGAAAAAGACATTGCCAAAGAAATAGACCCTCGTAAAATCATTCAACAGTTTACCAGCATTAAAGCCCGTAAAATTAATATAAATTAATATTTCAAAATTATCTATGTAGGAATTTTTGGTACTTGTTAGTTATAAAAATAAAACCTGTTTCAAATGTTTCATTTGTTTTATAATACCTACAAAAAAAACCCTTTAGGCACATCTACATAGGCGCTCTTGAAAATGTTGCCTCCGGCGCCAAAAATACTAGGACCGGCCCTGCAGATGGCTATCGAAGTGATGACGAGTTCGACGAGTACTTTTTCTTTTTTCTTATTTGAAATCAGTAACTTGAGGGGTAGACCTTAGTACCGACCATTCAAGATGGACTTAGTTCATTTTTTCATACAATATTGAAAGACATGATTAAACAATTGCATTTTTTTTACTGTTACATTTCGACATATAGTATTTAACATTACTAGCATGGTAAAAGGGTTTTTACTGGCGGACAGAAGGATATGACACGTAAATTTGTTTTATTGTTTGTAAATTCACCGATCAGGTTAGGATTTTAATCGTTAACTGGTTCTAACACAATGTAACAGACATTTATTAGGAGATTTCATGAAATTCACTTAGTCAGGATAACACCCTTTGTTTACAAGTTATGAATGAGGTTTGTGGATCCTAATACTTAAGTGTTGCATTATAACACTTCTTAATTCTTCACACAAGATTGCTAACAGTTCATTTACGGGGGTTAAAATAATTTCTTCCCTTAGGCAGTTATCATCGTTATTATCATCGGCATCATCATTACATCACCGAGGATCTACTGTGACCGAGGCATGTCCTCGTAACGTTAAAAATCACATCACCGAGGCATTTCCTCGCAACGCTAAAATTTACATCACCGAGACGCTTTTTCCTCGCAACGATGACTGGATAATTTTTGTGTTTATTTATTATGTATTTTGTTGGGGTAACCAGTTCATGATAAACTCTTAAAGTTAATTATTTTAAGTAACCAATCACTTAGATATAGTATAAATTATTTGTTTGAATCGTTGATAAAGCGTGGCAAATTTTAATCTCATGTAAATTTGTTAGCGTTGCAATTTTTCACTTCATACAATATTTCTCTACCTAACAATTTTCTTTGTTGCATAATTTAAATTGAACGTAAACTTTCATGCTCTGCAGTTTCTAACCTCACGTAATATTTTATCTTCACAAGTTTATTTCACACCAGATCTTTTGTTTTATAAATCTTTGCTAGTTTTTGTTTTGTAAATATTTTGTTAATGAATGTTTCCATCGTATAAATTATCTGATGTCCAATTTTACTCTCAAATAAGAATTATTTGTCGTTTAAAATTTCACAAGATTGTATCGCGAATTTAAATGTTGTTTATTGCCCTTTTGAAACTTTGACACTTGTTCAGTTGTCGTTAATATCAGAGTCATAGAAATTGAACATTTAAAATGGGATTGAGGTTAAATAACACCGAAACACGTGGCAGAAGCGGAGGGCGCGGTTCCTAGTCGAGCTAGCGGAAGTTATCGCGCCATCTGCACAAGGGATGCAGGTTTTGTATAAATGTCAGGGCAACAGTCTGGATGACGTGACGTTGTCGGCGTATTTATAGCCGTAACTTCCAACCACGAGTTTCTAGGCTTGCCCATAGATAGAGTCACCGTCGCGAGGGAGAACTGCCACGACCGGGAGCCCCAAACTCCGATCGCGCTACAATGGGTATTTTTGTTGTGCTCTAGAATGAAGATCGCCACACTCTTATAGCGCTCTGATGCCGCTGCCGCTGCATAGTTTGTTTATTTTAATTTTGTTCTCTTGTTGACTGCCTTAATTTTAAATTTGACGCCACACGCCCGTAATAACTTGTGTATTTGCATCCAGTTACTTTACTTCAGATTTTGCTTTGGTTTTATTAAATTTGTGATATTCAAATATTTCCATTGATTTCATTTAAAATTCATTAAAAGTTTTTTTTTGGATATACATATAATGTTGATGGGAAAACTCATTAACACAGGCATAGCTGCCTTGCGCTTTATTTCAATGCATTCATATTTTTAGAACAATTGTTAATTCGTTTCCTATCATGCGTTGAGGTCAAGCATATTTCAGACAAGGGGATAAAGAAGTGTGTTATCGTAACAAAATGCGTTCGAATCATAGCCAGTGGCGCGTATGGATGACGATACACTGATGAATTCAGAAAAATGAGCTCTACAACAATCATCTCCAAAAAAATATAGTATCATTCAAAAAAAAAAGTTAGATCTAGAAGACAAATAAAAAAAAGTAGGGTATCAAAACGTATTTATAGGAATTCACTTGGCTTTTTACACTGGTACTAATATTACTTACCTATATTTGTTTTAATGTATAGAGGTTATCATAATTAAAAGTTCGCAAAATATATTTTTTTATTTTTCAAAGCGGTGTGTTGGATTGTACTTCACGGGTGAGGAAAGTCCCGTCAAAATAACCTTCGACCAATTTTTTCTCTTGATTTTAATTCCTTTCCAAACTCTAAATCAAGTAGAAACAAACCTAATTTATTAATAAGTAATTTTTTTCTGTAACACTAGTGACATGGCATTTTAACTTTTTTTAATAGATTTTATACCTAAAAGTCATTTTTATATCTAACGGTTTTTATCTTCTGAAAAAGTACTGCTCCGAAAGAAACCCATACGACGTCTATGGGTTATAGATTTACAGTGATGATGACTTATTTGACAATATTTGAGTTAAAATTAGATTAATATAATTTTATTGGGTAATTACATTTGCGAAGTGTAGCTTTGGGATGTATTCAAAGAACTTATATTTTTCTTTATTGTGATGTGTTACAGATTAAGAGGTGTACCTAATTGATTTGTCCCGTAAATGGAATTATTTCTGTTGAGCAAATAAATCTTATTTATTTATTTATTATTTATTATCGACCCGGCGGCGTTCGCTATCGAAAAGCCTGGAAACGGAAGTCGCGATGGGCAACCCAAAAAAACCTCGAAGCGGCGTTCTTGATGCATCGAGAGGAACGTATAGGTTTAAATGGAGGCCACCGTCGGGAACGAATTATTCAGTACCAAATCGAGTTGAGCGAAGAGTCCAGGCAAGTTGCGGCGGAATTATTTTGTACATGATCGCTGTGTAAATTTCAGTTAACTAAGAAATAAAATTGTTGAGTTTAACCCACGCCGATTTGTAATCACCGATTAACGTAACAGTACCTTTCTTCTTTCTGCATGACACGTCCCGAAAATTTGGATGTGCAAATAATTTTTATTACAACATATCTATTTATTTCAGGAATTCGTTTAATTATGAATAATTTTTAATAAAAAACTATTGATTTCGGACTTAAAAACCAAATTGCGCTGGTACGAACTTAAAAAACAGCTCTAAAATGTTTACTTTTTTTAAATATACCTTTATTATTATTATTATTATTATTGAAATACGGGAACTCAACAGGTATGTAACCCATTTACCGAGATCCACAACTACCAAAAAGAAAACAAATTTAATGAAATAAATAAAACAAACAAAGAAACCCCAAACACATAGAAAGAACTAAATAGATAATTAAGATAGAGTTTGGAGTTTTTTTTTAATATCACCTGGTTTGCAACAAAATATGTCAATAGTTTCTTCTACATTCAAATAGTTCAAAATTGCCAGATACAATGGCGAAGATTTTAACATATTAGTTCTAGAATGAGGGAGTTCAAAAATTCTGCCACTCCTTAAGTTGGATCTAGGCACACGTAAGTAAATTTGGCACACGAGAGCAGGACAATTAATGCCATTATTAATAATGTTTGATAGAAGAACGATACTATCCACGCTACGTCTTTTTACCAGACTTGGCATTTGAAATCTAAATAGCAAAAGATCATTTGGAAAACTTTGTACAGGATAAACACCATCCTCCAAAAATGCAATAAATTTAAGAAAGCGTCGCTGCACTTTTTCTACACTGTTGATATGAATATTATAAATAGGATTCCAAACTACAGATGCATATTCAAGTCTAAACCGAACAAAACTAAAATATAACATCTTCAACGAATCTATCACCTCTATTCCTTTGGAGTTGCGAATGATAAAGCCAAGAGATTTGTATGCCGACGCAACGATACATTCAATATGCTGTATGAAATTCAACTTTAGGTCAAATGTAACTCCTAAATCTTTTATATGGTGTAGTCTTTCCTAAACGTTACTAGCTATGGAAAACAGGGTAAAATCCTTGAAATATAAATAGTTTGAAAAACAAGTTAAAATACCTTAAAAAAGTGTTGACCTATTATTGTGTTAACAATGATGATTATTGCTCAAAAAACTATAATTATTAATTACGTCAATTAACTTTATTTATAGATACTATTCAACCCTGCACAAACTAATTAATACTTCAACATTTTAACTGGATCACAATTCTTACTGATTAGATATGGTACAAGTGAGCGTTTCATGTAACATCTGTTATTAAATATATTACTATATCTTTTTCGATAGATGCACTATATTAATTTAATCTAATACAAAATGATATGACTTAATCTTTGATTGACTATATTTAATGGGAATACGCAATATTGCTGTATGTTTTGTTCGAGCACATAATTCTGGACCAGTTTTTGACAAATCCAAGACTGTGAGGCCGTTTGGAGCAGAGTCCTAGAAAGCATTTAGCACAGAATGATAAATTCCTCCATTCTTTGCTAGTGAGGCCGAGAGAAACTAGAAGTATCTGATGCAAAAACAACATCAGTAGAAAAGCCGCCAAGCCCAAGCTGTAGATCGCTGCTACAAACGAAAGTCCAAGTCTAAAACAAAAAACTACTTAAAATACGTTTCTTACACCACTGACACTTACTCAAATTGTTGATACACATCAGAACAGTCATCCGGTAACAAAATTGATTTATAAACAATAAATGGATGGCACACTGAAGTCAACGTTAAATTAGAACTGTACAGTAGTGAAGCAATTGCAAAAAACAGTGCTAGAACAAACAAACATTGGTTGTGTCTCCCCACACAACAATCAAACCTAAAACAAACAGTTTTACCACCACACTATAATTTATTCATTGTTCATACCACACGCAATGATGGTCCTTCTCAGGCACCACCACCTGGCAAATAGAACATCTATTGTATGAACCTACGTAACCACTTTCAGCCTCACTCTCTCCAATTTTCCCCAACGTGTTATTTCTAATTTTCATTAAATAGAAACACAGCAAGAACCCCGCAAACAATATAGTCAAGAAAATATTTTCCTCCACCAAAATCTCCAGTAATGGAATGACAAGAAACTCAAAAATTATGTACAAAATAATAATCGAAGTCACGGTCCAAACAATAAAAAACTTCGTCCTGGGAATAGTTCGAATGAAAAATTTAAAAACCGAAACCAAGATCACCGCTACAGCAGTGAACGAAAACACTGTCCACCACAGACTTATAGCAGCCAAGAGAAACATCGTAGGCAAGATTATAACTGGCAAAATTGCGTCGAAAGCTACCTGTTTGGCGCCCCCACGCCAGGGTATTCGCAGCCTGTCTTGAATGGTCGCCATGAGACGAGAGCGATTGCGGTCGGGGAAACCCTGACCTGTTATAAGACTACAAATAACGTAATTTCTAGAAGCGGCAAGGAATGTAACACTCACCTCTCGAAACCCTCATCTAAATCAACACAGTTGCAGCAACATAGCAAGATGTGGCTGCGCTCGTTGTTGCCGTCAAAGTATTCACAGCAACATAAGGGTCTTACACGATCATCCATTCCATTTTATGGTTTAGTACTCACAGTTTTATAATATTTTAACATTTGGGAAAACTTCAAAAACAAGGGGATGTCAAAGTAGGTTAAGTGTGCCGCTGTAGATAAAATGTGGCGTGCGAATAGGCTACTACTGTCAGATGTTTTGTCTACATAACCTATACATTTCAAACATGTTTTTAATTTTATAAATAGGAGTGTTTTATTAAAAGATAAAATGTCTATGCAGGCTAAAATTGTATTAGGATGTGCTTGTGCATTCTCGTTAGGGATAGTCGGATATGTTCATTATAAACAGTATCTTGACAGGTATTAACCCTATTCGGTGTGACAGTTTGGTAATAAAAATGTTTTATTGTTATAGACAACAACTCCATCAAGGTGTTTTGGTCGACATGGAACGACGACAAAGACGAAAACAGGAAAATCTCTACATTCTTCAGAAGCAAATTGACTTGACGAAAGAGATCCAGAAAGGTGAACAAACAAACAACACCAATATTACGTAGTTCTGTATTGAAAAAATAAGTTAGTACTGTACATTTTGTAAATGGAATCATGTATTATATTCTCGATTGTCTGCCCAATGCACTCGACGATTATCAAGGTTGCTGAACCCTATACCAAAATTTTTATTCAGTTCTTCTAAAGACTGTGTTGTACTTTCATGTTCATAATATTTTTTGTAACGTCTGACCAGTACTATACAACATACGATAAAAATCACTTGGATTAAAACCCATGTTATGATTAGACCTACGAAGAGGGAGTAGTCTAGGCAAACCTCATTTGTAATATAGTCTGCAATAAATTTAATTTTAAATTGTTCTAATAGTTTACTGCTCTTACCATAGCCCGCAACTAGCACTTTTCCGTCGCTTAAAACAAGTCTTTCTGAATTTGCGTTAGAATTTCGTACAATCATGACGAATTCCAATGGCATACGCATTATACTTAAGTCTTTGTTAAAATCAGATCTGTTGACTTTAACAATTGTTGTACCATCAATGGTTTCAAGAGATCTTGTCTGTAGTTCACGTTTGATGCGTCTGGATGACTGTTCATCTCTCCCACAATTAATCTAAACATGTGGACAAATATAAAACAAAAAAATTGAAAAACTTTGATTACTTACAGGAGGACACGATTTTGGACAAAACTGGACAATTACGCTGAACCTAACTATAGGAGAGGACGAAAATTTAAAAGCTTGAAAATTTGCAATCAGAAGTTTGGTAGTATTTGTGAGAATTTTAGTTAAAGGTGGGAAAATGTTGAGATTGGTTGGACAACCATTGTCGTCCAAAAGTAGAATAGATTCTGAACTGTCTTCAGTCATTGCGATCAAGTGGCCGGCCCAAATATCCAATGAACCTATTATTAATTAACATCGTTATTGTTGTTGTTAAATGGTGATCTCCAGTCTCACCGTCATCGTGTTTAAGTTCGATTACTAGTTGCAACTCTTGGCCAATTTGAGTACTGCTGACTTCTTGTTGGGTGTATAAATCTACAACGCGCATCTCTACGATGGGACCAGGACCGGTACCTGTTGTGTTTATAAGAGGGCTTGCGTGGTTAGGGGCACTAAAACATTGGTTACATATTTGGAAGAAAAAATGTTTAAGCTTACGTTGTTATTGTAATTCCTGTTCCTGCTAGCACTTTGCTGTCGTTCCCGAAAACGCACCCAACTCGAATGATGCGGTCACCCTGGGTTTGTACCAGAGGGTTGTACTGGAGAATCATCGTACCACCCATTAATGTTCTGTTGGAAGAAAAAAATCAAATGCTTTTGTAAGTTGTGTGGTTTAGTAAACATTATCATATCTAAGTAAGTGTTTCCGAAAACATCTCGAATGGTCAAGCGCATCCTGGGTATAAAAAATTGGTCGAAGGTTATTTCGACAGAACTTCCCTCGTCCCTGAAGTACGGTTTCCATCTTTTGAATTTTTCAATTTTTAGATTTTGCAATTTTTCGATTTTTCCATTCTTTAATTTTTCAACGTTTCAGTTGTTCAATTTTTCATTTCGGTTTATTATTTTCTTTATTTTTCAACTTTCGGTTTTTCAGTGTTCTGATTTTATAATTTTTCTTTTCTCAAATGTGAAATTTTTTAATTTTTGGATTTTTAATTTTCGATTAGCAATTTTGGTTTTCAATTTATCGGTTTTTCAATTTTTGTGTGTAACTCTTCGAGTTTTCATTTTTAAATTTTTCGATTTTCCAGCTATAGGATGTTTCAATTTTTAGATTTGGAATTTCACGGGCTTTCAGTTTTTAATTTTTCACTGTCTTAAATGTTTAATTTTTCAGTTCTTCAATTTTTCGATTGTTTTTTATTTTCTTTATTTTTTCAATTTTTCGTTTCTTTAATTTTAGATTTGTAATTTTTCTAGTTTTCATTTTTAAAATTTTCGATGGTCCAACTACGGGATGTTTAAATTTTTAGATTTTGCAATTTTTCGATTTGCAATTTCACGCGTTTTCGGTTTTTAATTTTCAATGTTCTATGTAGTTGTTTAATTTTTCATTTCTTCAATTTTTTGATTTACAATTTTTCGTTTCGGCATTTTATTTTCTTTATTTTTTCAATTTTTCGATGTTCTAATTTTTATAGTTTTCTTTTTTTCAAATGCGAAATTTTTAAATTTTTTGGTTTTCAATTTATTGGTTTTTAATTTATCGGTTTTTCCACTTTTAGATTTTTCGATCTCTCAATTTTTCAATTTTTCGTTGCCTCAGTTTTAGAATTGCAATTTTTCTAGTTTTCATTTTTTAATTTTTCGATTGTCCAACTATAGGATGTTTAAATTTTTCGATTTTGCAATTTTTCGATTTGCAATTTCACGAGTTTTCAGTTTTTAATTTTTCAATGTTTTAGTTGTTTAATTTTTCATTTCTTCAATTTTTCGATTTTGTCTTTTATTATCTTTATTATCTGTATTTTTTCAATTTTTCAGTTTTTCAATGTTCTGATTTTATATATTTTTTTATCAAATACGAAATTTTTCAATTTTTGGATTTTTAATTTTTCGACTTTTTGGTTTTCAATTTGTCAGTTTTTCAACTTTTAGATTTTTCGTTTCTTCAGTTTTACGATACGTAATTCTTCGAGTTTTCATTTTAAAATTTTTAGATTTTCCAGCTATAGGGTTTCAATTTTTAGATTTTGCAATTTTTCGATTTGCAATTTCATCAGTTTTCAGTTTTCAATTTTTCAATGTTTTACTTGTTTAATTTTTCATTTCTTCAATTTTTCGATTCGGTGTTTTATTATCTTTATTTTTTCAATTTCTCAGTTTTTCAATATTCTGATTTTATAATTTTTTTTATCAAATACGAAATTTTTCAATTTTTGGATTTTTAATTCTTCGACTTGCAATTTTTTGGTTTTCAATTTGTCAGTTTTTCAACGTTTATATTTTTCGATCTCTCAATTTTTTAATTTTTTGTTTCTTCAGTTTTTGATTTGGAGTTTTCATTTTCCTTTTTTGTGTCTTCAATTTTACGATACGTATTCTTCGAGTTTTCATTTTTAAATTTTTAGAATTTCCAGCTATAGGGTTTCAATTTTTAGATTTTGCAATTTTTCGATTTGAACTTTCATGAGTTTTCAGTTTTTAATTTTTCAATGTTTTAGTTGTTTAATTTTTCATTTCTTCAATTTTTCGATTTACAATTTTTCGTTTCGCTTTTTTATTTTTTTTATTTTTTCAATTTTTCAGTTTTTCAATGTTCTGATTTTATTTTTTTTATCAAATACGAAATTTTTCAATTTTTGGTTTCTTCAGTTTTTGATTTGGAGTTTTCATTTTCCTTTTTTGTTTCTTCAATTTTACGATATGTAATTCTTCGAGTTTTCATTTTTAAATTTTTAGATTTTCTAGCTATAGGGTTTCAATTTTTAGATTTTGCAATTTTTCGATTTGCACTTTCATGAGTTTTCAGTTTTTAATTTTTCAATATTTTAGTTGTTTAATTTTTCATTTCTTCAATTTTTCGTTTCGCTTTTTTATTTTCTTTATTTTTTCAATTTTTCAGTTTTTCAATGTTCTGATTTTATTTTTTTTTATCAAATACGAAATTTTTCAATTTTTGAATTTTTAATTTTTCGTTTCTTCAATTTTTGATTTGCAATTTTTCTAGTTTTCATTTTCCTTTTTTGTTTCTCCAATTTTACGAAATGTAAAACTTCGAGTTTTTTTTTTAATTTTGCGGTTTGCAATTTTTTGGTTTTCAATTTATCGGCTTTTCAACTTTTAGATTTTTCGGTCGTTCAGTTTTTCATTTTTTTGTTTCTTCAATTTTACGATATCCCTTCGAGGTTTCATTTTAAAAATTTTCAGTTTTCCAACTGTAGGATGTTTCAGTTTTTAGATTTAGCAATTTTTCAATTTGCAATTTCACGAGCTTTCAGTTTTTAATTTTTCAATTTTTAAATGTTTCATTTTTCATTTCTTCAATTTTTCGTTGTTTCAATGTTCTGATTTTATAATTCTTCTTTTTATCAAATACGAAATTTTTCAATTATTCGATTTGAAATTTTTTGGTTTTCAATTTATCGGTTTTTCAGTTTTTAGATTTTTCGGCCTCTCAATTTTTCTAGTTTTCATTTTTAAATTTTTTGATTGCCCAACTATGGGATTTTTAAATTTTTCGATTTTGCAATTTTTCGATTTTTAGTTGTTGAATTTCTCGATATTTAATTTTTTAATTTTTATATCTTTCAATGTTACAATTTTTCGATTTTACAATTTTGACTATTCGATTCGATTTTTCTTCTTTACAATTTTTGGATTTTTCAATTTTTAGATTTTGCAATTTTTCGATTTCAAATTTTTTTGGGTTTTCAGTTGTTTAATTTTTCATTTCTTCAATTTTTCGTTTCGGTTTTTTATATTATCTTTATTTTTTCAATTTTTCAGTTTTTCAATGTTCTGATTTCATAATTTTCTTTTTTTCAAATGCGAAATTATTCAATCTTGGATTTTTAATTTTTCGATTTGCAATTTTTTGGTTTTCAATTTATCGGGTTTTCAACGTTTAGATTTTTCGATCTCTCAATTTTTCGTTTCTTCCGTTTTAGATTTATAATTTTTCTAGTTTTCATTTTTAAATTTTTCGATTGTCCAACTATAGGATGTTTAAATTTTTAGACTTTGCAATTTTTCGATTTGCAATTTCAAGAGTTTACAGTTTTTAATTTTTCAATGTTTTAGTTACATATTTAATTTTTCATTTTTTCAATTTTTCGATTTACGATTTTTCGTTTGGGTTTTTTATTTTATCATTTCAATTTTTCAGTTTTTCAATAATATGATTTTATAATTTTTCTTTTTTTTCAAATACGAAATTTTTAAATTTTTGGATTTTTAATTTTTCGATTTGCAATTTTTTGGTTTTCAATTTATCGGTTTTGAACTTTTAGATTTTTCGGTCTCTCAATTTTTCAATTTTTCGTTTCTTTAGTTTTTCGTTTCGGTTTTTTATTTTCTTTGTTTTTTCAATTTTCCGATTTTCAATCTTCTGATTTTATGAGAATAATTTTTCTTATTTCAAAAGTGAAATTTTGCAATTATTGATTTTTAATTTTTCGATTTGCAATTTTTTGGTTTCCAATTTATTGGTTACTCGACTTTTAGCTTTTTCAGACTCTCGATTTTTCAATTTTTTGCTTCTTCAATTTTTGATTTGCAATTTTTGTAGTTTTCATTTTTATATGCAATAGTAATTACATGTACTTTCTAAAATTTTTTACTTTTTAAAACTTATGATTTTAGATTTTTTCCATTTTTCATTTATTGGATTTTAAAACTTTTTCCATACATTCGATTTTTCAATTTTTCGATTTTTAGTTGTTGAATTTCTCGATATTTAATTTTTTAATTTTTATATCTTTCAGTGTTACAATTTTTCGATTTTACAATTTTGACGATTCGATTCGATTTTTCTTCTTTCCAATTTTTGGATTCATCAATGTTTTTTAATTTTTAAGTTTCTCGATTTTTAGTTTTTCTATATGTCAATTTTCCAATTTCGATTTGAAATTTTTCGATTTTCCACGATTTTGCAATTTCTCGTTTTTCAAATTTTCCGATTTTTTCAATTTTTTGATTTTTCAACTTTCCGAATCAAAACAATGGAAAAATTGCAAAACTGCGCAATTGAAAAATCAAAAATGAAAAAAGAAAAAGTATAAAATGAAAACTGAAAAAACGAAATATTGTAAAATCGAAATATTGAAAATTAAAAAAATCGGAAAATTACAAAATTAAAAAATCTAAAAATTGGAAAACCGAAGAATTGAAAATTAGAAAAATATAAAATCGAAAGAAACATTTAAAAAATAAAAAAAAATGAAAAAACGAAACATTGTGATATAAAAATTGAGAAAACGAAATCAAAAAATCGGAAATAAAAAACAGAACTCGAAAAACTGAGGAAACGAAAAATCGAAAAATTGATTTTATAAAATTGAAATAGGATTTACTAATGTAAATTTTGGAAATGACATCATCCTATTGTTGATGGGGATATTTATCCAAATTTTGGTTATCGTTTTACCATCCACACGCTATTCCTAATACATAGATATAATATTTGACAACAATAGGTCCAGTAGTTTCGGAAATTATTATTTAATTATTAAATTATTAATTATTATTAAATTATGTTTAATAAAAATTTGGACAGACGAAAACGGGAGACCTATTTGTTCGTACTCTAGGGGTCATGAAACGTTGAGAAAACATAAAAGTACCAATAGACTTGACAATACTTCTTTAGCTTACGCTCAGGAAGTAGAAAATAGTATATAAGTATTAAACATAATTTGGCTGTATCACGGGATTTTTAAAATAAATTAAAATCTGTTAACAAATAGTTCCACTTCATTTATTATTTTCAGTATAACAAAAAATGATCTTTTCGATTGTAAAAATTCACTCTAGGGTTTTAAATCAACCCAAGCATTCTTTTTTCTTAACTTCGAAAAATTTTTGTCCCAAGTTTCACATTCATAAGAAATCTAAAAATAGAATTAACAAATGAGGCGAATTAAATTTTAAGATTTTACACGCCACACTTGAAAAAATTGTGATTGCATAAAATACAAACACCTGTTGTATGTACCGTCACGCGCACGGGATTGGTTGTACTACACGTGCATTGTTTCAATTGTTTTAAATTGAGTATTTCAATTGAACCAGAACTGTGAAATTAATAATAACGAATGGAAAATTACAAAGAAAAGTTGTTATATATCGAAATTTAAATAAATCTCCATCGATAATTTTTATTATTGTTAATTATTAGATAACAAACACAGAAGCATATTATTTTGCAAATTCTAACCACGATTTACTTGCCAAAATTTTGAAATGATCCTTAAAATACATTCAAATTTCACAACAATTAACCCGTTAGTTTTACTTGTGCAATAAAATCGCCAACAAACAGATGATGGACAGACGGAAAAAGGAGACCCACTTTTTCCTATTTTAGGAGCTATCAAACGCTCTGGAAGCAATTAGCTAACTAATTTAGGAACTACGTGCTCGAAATGCATATATTTCAGTTTAATTTTTCATAAAAAAGGGATGTTTTTGTTTTTTAAAATACCTACCTATTATCTGGTGCTATCGCTTTAATAATCCCACACTGCTCAGAAAGCAAAGACAACTTAAGTGCCACAACTTCGGTACCGCTTCCTTTGGCAAAACACTCCGGTTGCTCCGAATATCCCTCCATATACATCCTTCCCATAAACCTCATTCGGGGTTCAAACTCAACAGTCATGTACGTCTCAGAGCAAGTAATCGAAACTAAAACACTAAAATAAAAACCAGAAACAAATTTTTACAATTATGAAAACACACTATTAAGACAGGGAGTCTTCTCAAAATATTTTCCCGAGATGTGTTCTTTCAGGAGCCTGGGTCCCAGTATCTTACTGTCTTCGCTGTGCAAAAAACAATCAAAATGTCCATCTCTGGCCACAACGCTGAACCCTCTACAAGTAAAGTTCTGGATGTTTGCACACAACTCTTCACATTCGTCTTTATTTTTGTCTTTGTAGTCGATATCGATGTGTGTTAGCGTAGCATTGTCGTACTCTTCGAACGAACAGAAGACGCCATCCATTTCTAAAATTGTACTTTTGTGCATATAAATCACAGAAACCTTCTAGTACTACCGTAATCGTTATTCGAACATTGTTTCTCGAAGTACTCGTCGTCGAACCCAGACGCTCTAAAGGCACTAGGAATCATGTGTCTGTCGACATCGCTCAGAATACACATTCCTTTAATCTCTTCATTCGGACCGTACTCATCATCCTTAATCTTAAATTTGGCAGACCTACAATTAAATTCTTTCTCGTTTAGGCAGTTTAGTTGACACTCAGCGCGGCTGTATGTTTTTGGCAGTACTTTGGTATTGTTTCCGACTAGAGTGGCACCAGGAACTCTTTCAAAAACCCACATGTGGTTACAGTCTGGTACTAAAACACTCCGTTTAGTAATAGACCGGAAGTACCACGGTCGTACCTTTGTAGCAAACTTTAATAAACCAAGCTGTGTTCGTGTCTAACTCATTTTCGAGCTCTTGTACTCCTTCAATGGCATACTTAAACCAGTAACAGGTACTCGTGTTGTAGAACAAAACAAAACTTATACACTCATCTTTGGAATGGCATCTGTTGAGACACTTTTCGGTGATTCCAATTTCTCCAGTTTCAGCCCTATATAAAAGCGCAGGATGGCGATGGGTGGAAGGTCGTAACCCGATGACTTTTTCGAAATTTAGGTCTTTTCGAGGACAGTTGGTTACTTGTGCGTCTAAAATCGTAAGAATTAGTGTCTCGGAAGATTTTAAAAAGGGCGGTTGCTCATTATCGCTTTAATGTGGCTCTTAATATGGGATTCATGAATAATTCTGCGAAAATCTAGACATAGACGTATGATTTGTCGACATGTTCTGCCTAACAATCCGTTCATTATTATTCGTTTTGAAAGTGAACATTGTCTGTGTCTTTACAAAGATAACAATAAATCCATTGGTTTATTTACGGTGCGGTTTGGTGTGGAGAATATTGTGTCATGGTTTTTTCGTTTGCACTGATTCAGTAAATTCTTAATTTTTATTATTGTGGTTTTAATGCGATTATTATTGAAAGAGAAACTGTGTTGTATGGATGGGTCGGCACACACTTGCAATGACACTGACCTTAAATAATGGTGAAATTTTGAAGAGTGCATGGAGAGGAAGGTTATTATTGTTTATGTGTGTAATATTTTGCTTGGTTAAATGTAGTGCGATTGTGTGTAAATAAATGACATAATTAAAGAGTTGTAACGGCATTTATTACGTCCCTAAAAATAAAAACCCATGAATTAAAATATCTATGCTATATGTTACTTTTAATATGTATTTGTTGTTGCAGCAATAAATAAATCTAAACGATTAGTAATCGATACAAATATAAACGCTAATTTTACTTTATTTGATGTTTTAAATAAATTCATACATATTATATTTTTCTATGTTATCAAAAGTCCTTCTAATATTGTGCTATCATATACATTAAGTAAGTAAGTTGTGTTTTAGTTTTATGTCAAGACATTGAAAATATTTAATTATTGTGGTAATAAGATGTAAACAGGTTACCTTGTTCATAATTTACAGGCTTTAAAATTTTGAACAAATTTATTTTTTATACAACTGTTTGGAAAGTCTGAGCATTTTTGTCAAATTTTGATAGGTATTAATTATAGTTATTTTAGAACTTCCCTCGTTTCTGCAGCGTACCACTGAGTGTCAAAATTAAAAAATTGTACTTTTCAATAAAAATTATTTTGTCCCAAACAGTCTGAAACAACTCCGTTCATATATTATTTGTAAGGTCACAAATAATATAGATTTGAGGGTATAATTTTCGATTCGATTTATTTAGAAAATATTTTTTTAAATCGATGTCATCAGCTTTTTTTAGCAAGGAAATATGTTAATTTTGATGCGTTCATTCTAAAATATTATTGTCTACCTACAGTATATTTAAAAAAAGGCGGCTTATCCACAGGTGATTTAATCTGCTTTAGAAATAAACTTTGGAATCATATTTACGATATGTTGATACTTATTTTAAATAGAAACTCTATTTTTTGGTGTAATAACCTAATGAAGCTCTTTAAAATTTTAATGGTATACGGACACTGATTTTGGAATTGCAGAGCGTATAACTAAAAATGTTTTATTCAAGCGTCGACAAAGTTGATGATGTCATCTCAAAAAATATTTTAAAATATTGTAAAATAGTCATTGAAAAATACGCCTTGAGACAGAATAGCGAAAGTTAAGGGAAGTATTGTAAATAAGTCATTTTAACAATATATAATGCACTTAAGCGTCTTTATACAGGCTTGTTTATTCTTATCGTCTTGAAAAGACAAAATCCTGTAGGTCGTTCCAAAATTTTCCTAAAAATCGAAATATCCCAGTGTCTAAAATTTAAACAAATATGTCATATTTTTAAACAGTAATGTATAAAATAGGAAAAACTGTTTTATAAGCGAATCGACTTTGTATTGTAACTAATAATTAAATAGTAATCATCCTGTTAAATTAAATTTTATAAAATTATGTATAATTAAAAATAAAAAATGCGTTGAAAAACGTTTACATTTGTAGGCGCCTAATAAAAGACGAAAAATGTTAGATAACGATTTAGGAAGGAATTAAATGAACCACTTTTATGGTAAAGAAAGATAAATCAATTGATAAATTATTTCTAGAGAAAAATCTATTACTCACTTAATTTTTTCTGTTTCACTAAGGATCTCTTTAATACATTTTTGTAGACCCTAAATGACTAGTAACAAATTTTGTGAAAAATTGACTCCATAATCTCCGAAACAAATTTTATGTTCAGTACAAACTAAGACATATATTTTGTATAGTGTTAAAGTCGATTTTGATTAGTGTTTTACCATCTGCACGATATTCCTAAAATTTCACAATTTATCCATTAATTTCGGGGATTATCTGTGTAATAATATCGCCAACAGACAGAAAAACAGATAGACTGAAATAGAGAACCTACTTTTTCAAAGACTAGGATTGAAATGCCAAGAAAAGATGAAGTTAGCCGTTTGACAAATGGACTCCATTATAATACAACCCTACCTTACTCGAAAAATGAAAAACGACAAATTAAACGGTTTAGAAAGAGTAATTGACACAGAATAAACAGGAAAAAAAGAAAGAAGAGTAACTGAGGAAGAGGAGACAATTAAAAAATAAAATGCATCGTAAGAAAAAAAACGCAAGTCAAATTTTTCGAATATTTTTCGAGAAGCAGAAAAGGAAAAAAAGCGGTGTAAACAGTATTCAAAGCGTAAAGAAATATATCAAGAAACAAATGAGAAAATAATGAGTACAATAATGACTGTCATGTATAAATCTATTAATTTCGATATACAGGTGTCTTAGCTAAACTCCGCGGCCTAATGTCTTGAGAAAGGATAGAGATGTTGAAATTCAGTAAACGCCATGAGTTTTAGCTTAAAGGAGGGAGCTTAATTTAGTACATTGCAGATCTGAGGCTTCCATGGCATCGGCATCGCGATGCAAACCTGTATTTTTTGAATTACAACGTATACCTATATTTTTTAACGGATTCTGGTTGAGCATTAAATTGCCATTACAGTGATATATGTACATACAGCAGTTAGATATTGATTTCATTTTCAGTTAAACATAAAAAATAAAAGTTGAGGGTAACAAAGAACTACTCTACTATTTTACGACAGTGCGAACATATGCTAAAATAATACTTTTGAAAAAAATCTTATTGATTATAAAATAAAGTGCACTCAACTTTCGTTTTTTATGTTTTATAAGTTTAAATTTAAATTTAATTTAAAAAAATATAGGTTTGTGATGCGACGCCGACGTCATATTCGCAACTTACTAAATTAAGCTTCCCCCTTCAAGATAAAAACAATGGCGTTTACAGAATTTCAATATCTTTATCGGCTTTGAAGCTATTAGGGCGGGAAGTTTTAGCTGTATAAAATATAACACTGATTATAATTTTAGCTAGCATTTCCAGAAAATTATAAATGAACCACTTTTGAGGTAAAACCAGTGTATCATTTTCGAACAAAAAAAGTCAAGCACAAGTAGTAGTGCCGACCTTATCAGGACGTAATTTTCAAGAGTGATTTCTGTAATACTAAATCTTACATGTTTATCTCAACAAGTTTGTGAAGCATCCATTGTGCAGTCACTGATTTAAATTTTATGTTGAACAAGATTGACACAGAGATTTATGTTAAAAAATGGGAAACGTACATTTTCGAATTCTGTAACCTGCTGTACGTTAAAATGACCTCTTTACAATACTTCTAATATCTAAAAGAGTAAAAATGAGGAAAAAAACTGCAAATTAATTTTTATAATTGACATTTTATACACCTACAACAAAAAATAGACATGAACCAAAATTCAAACGAGTATAAAATCACAGCCTGAGAAAAACTTAGAAAAGTACAGTAAATGTAAATTGCCATTTGGGTTCAGAAAAACTCATTGAACATACGAGAAAAATAAAAAAATAAAGAGAGTAATCCAAACATAGAAGAAAAATTAAAAGATCATAATTGACGAAAAATTTTTATAATGAATGAAGTTAGATCACGAAAAGAAAATTTTGAAACATCTAATAATCCAACCATGTGTATAATCTTGTTTAAATGATCATGACTATGTTTATTTAAGCAGTTCTAACATCCGTTGCACATCTTTTTAATAAAACATTTCAACACCTGAACCAAATAAACGCATCTAGTGTTTTCCAAGTGAGTACTAATTATTCTAATCCGATAAGACGATTTTAATGTAACATTAAACTAAACCTTGGAACTTACCTATAATTATATCAATTAAAATAAAAAACCAAACAATCCGTAACGTCATAACAAAAACTGAACTTTACACATAGGGGATAAAAGTCGTACTCGTAGTAAGACGCACGCAATTACATGAACAATCACCCAAAGCAGCCGAATGCAAATTGACCATCGTTTATCGTTTAGTACCTACTACCGAATAGTCGACGGGGTACTATCAAGTGGTTCCCAATGCATACATGATTGACACATTCATATGTATGCTAGTTGCATTACGTAATTAACCTTGGACTATATTGTCATGCCCTATATGCAACTGCAATTTACAGTGTTTTTTTTTAATTTTATGTGTCATTCGCTAATCGAAACATTTTCGTTTCCCCATAAAACGTTCTTCTTGAGTTGTCGCTTTAAAAACCGTCATTAAGCTATTTGGAAACGTCGATGTGTGTAATACAGGGAAATCAAAATTTCGTAATATGTAATACGAAGACATTAGGGTAAAAGTGATGATGTGGGAGGTTCACTATTTTCTACATAGCTTCGTAATTAAACCAGTGATAAGGTATCTATTGTACTGGCACAAAACGCGAGGTCTTCTCAAGGTAAGTCGAACAAAAGGAACGTACAAATTTTTTCGTGTTAGCGAAGATTTAGTATACGAATTTGGAAATTCGGGACACGTCCTATTGGAAATGAATCGCTTGTAACATTGATGTTAGATGCTTTTCCCACTTCATTATTATCGCCTACCTGTGAGTCAATTTGTATTACGCACTCATGCAAATCTAATTTGACCATTGTATAGGAACACTACAAGTGCAATTGAAACCTTAACATAATAGCGTTTGTGTGTGTACCTCAGCATAAATTTACTAGTAAATAAAACTAATGCGGAAACTGATTTTCCACAGATCGAATTAAAACAA